CGTGCAGGCTAGGCACCTATAAAGCTCGGTCCTCCCATAGAGGGGGCAGTCAGTGCTTTAAGGTCGTCTACTAAATGGGCCATCGTCACAGTTAGCGCTATTCGCGCCTTTCAACCACGTCCTGATCTTAAAGGTAGGTCGAAATAATCTTCTTTTGTGTGTTTAAACATGAACTAAATCGGGTTTATCTTGTATTTATCTCACAACATCTTCAACACAAATTATAATTTACTTATGAGCTGGATTATTTGTTATATTCTTAGGTGTGCAGTTCTGTGTTTTCCCACACCTATTTTAACAATCTCAGCACAACATGCAGACCTTTTATGAGCACATGCAGTAGATCTGCTACTTGTTACAGGTACAATCTGCCTTCTGGCTATTATTGAGTTTATGCTTCAAGTCTCTGCTATGTTTATCCAGGCAATGAGTTGCTGTCCTTGTCTGCTCCATGAAATCCCTAAATCTAATCTGCTGCTCACCTGGTGTTAAGCTTCATAGTTCAGCTGGTTCTCCAGTCTGCTAACACACTCCTCTTAAAGACAAACGTGTAATATAAAATGCACACACAAACATATAACTCATTCTTCATTCTTGTACATTTTTAATCTACTAAATTAATAGAGTGTATATCGTACTAAAATTGGATGGAACCACCTATAATTTCCTTATAAACGTGCACCTGGTGGTAATGGCACAATCTTTTTGCCAGAAACCTCCATGGTTACGCAGCCTTCTTGCGCGCTAAGCCTCGGAGTTTAGACTAACATTATGGAATTCTCGTTATTTGAGCCATGGGAAACCGGAATCTAGGAAGCAGCTGCTTATGATTTATTACTAGGTGGGTAGGAATAAATCAGAGTGCGTGCGTGCATGCATGCATGCAAAAAAAGCTTGTCGTGAAATAGGCCGGGAGTTAAATGCTTCATCATCATGTCTCCTTTACCCAAAGCATTATTTAATAGTAATATATGCAATAGATATTAAATAAAAGGAAACATTTTAAATATATATATATATATATATAAAAAACACCGTAACCGCATTCATTTTCTTATATTTCCAGCTAATAATACCTGTACCATCTATTTTCCATCGGTGTCCAGGTTTCCATTTCTCCACCCGTGAGCAATTTTCCAGCTAAGGGCGGCAAAAATGGCAGCAATTCCATCCACTGGCTCCCTCATCGCCACGCACGATTACTACAGAAGTGAGTGACATGTGGCTTGTACGCTTTTCAATGGCAAGACAACATCTTTGATTGCTTTTTCATTCTGGATATTCTGACGGCAGTGTAGGTATTCTCCCTGTGGGAGATGACTTGATGTTTTTTTTCTAAAACCTTTCTCTTTTTAAAAAAAATGATTCCAGGGCGCCTGGGATCCAACTCCAGCAACAGCTCCTGTGGGAGTGCGGAGTACACTGGAGAGGTTATTCCACACCCCCCAGGTATGTACAACAAAAAATGACTTTTTTTTTTGCAAAATCTCCCTGCAGCAAACTGAGCTCCCATTTATGATTCATGCCCTCTTCAGGTCTTCAAAGGCAAGATTCTGGCCACTGGTGGACTTCATTTTTCTTTGCCAAACAGAACCAGCCCGGCATGCCGAACGGATCTGACACTCAAAAGTGAGCGTAGTGACAAACAAACGTATAACCAAATGTCAGTTAATGGGGTGCGGTGACGATTGGTCCTGTGGGGTTAAGATAAGCCTTCTTTTTGGTTTACAGGAACAGCACCTACACAGTGGCCAACGGTCAGGTGACCTGCGTCGCCAGGGAAATGGTTTTGAACAGAAAACTCAGTGTAAGCAGCGACAACGGAAAGTCCGAAACATCGACCCCTCCACCTACTTCCGCCTAGACTCCACCCCCGCCTCACCTACCTGTCTCCTGCCATCGCCCCCCCACATGGCCCCTACATGGCCCCTACATGGCCCCCACATGGCCTCCACAGCTCGTCACCCATCACCTAGTCCACGTCACCGGAGATGATGATGATGATGATGGTGGTTGTTACTTTTTAGTCAATGCTTTCTGTTTTTTGCCCACCAATAGTATATTTTTGTTATGACCAAAAGTTTAAAAAAGTATGTAAAAGTGTTTTTCATTTTGTTCTTGTGACTTTAAACTGTTAATAAATAATAAATAAAATGCTTACAGCATTAAGCAGCGTGTTTTCTGATTCCACACAGCTGTTTTGAACCTTTTTATAGATCGGTAATTGTACTTAGTTTCTACAATGAGCCTCAGATCCTCGGCGCAGTTGTCACAACTAATGCAGCCTACTTTCCAAACTAATCGGTTTATCCGTGACATGGTTATAATACAGCTCACAAAACTTGTTTCACCTGAGCACGAATGTGGGTCAACAGCTTCTAGAGAAGGTTTGTGGGTTTCGTTCAACAATGAAATGCATGTGCTCAATATATTTTGGTTCTCCAAATGTAAAAATGGCTTTAACAGAGTCTAACATTAGGTGACCCCGGACATTTATGCAACACGTTTGAAAGCAGGTCGACGGTCTGCCTGCACGGCTCAGATGACCACATTCTTCCAGTGCTGCGAGGGGAGCGCTTGTGTTTCCTTGCAGTCTGTGTGTGGTTTTTATTCAATGCAACGTGTGTTGGATAACGTGTTAAAAGCAATATAAGTGGCAACAAATCTATCTTAAATAATATAATACCACAAACTCTGGTAGAACCAATGTTTTTGAAGGTTTTCATGTCAGGTACTACTGACCGTTTGATAGATCAATACATGCACAAGTTCTCTGAATGGAGTTTGTTAGTGGAGTGATATGTGGGGAATATTTTGCAATGTGTACACAGAGAACTAAGAATAGACTCAGAGGATTGAGTCCAGATCCTTCATCAGATAACCTCTCTGTTCCAAAAGGAAAGTTGTATGTTTCCAGCACATCATTCATGTCTTTAGACCTCTATCCGTTTAAAAAGTGCTCAATCTGTCCCGCACGCCCTCCAAAGCTGCTTTATTTCAGGCGACGTATCAGGGAAGCGTTTGGGTTTAAAGACGTCCTGCGATCCCTGGCGAGTACAATACTTCCCGCGGCTCTTCAGCGACACGGGAGGCGTTCTCTCCCTTCGCAGGCCGCTTTGGGTTTCTCAGTACAAAGTTCAAGGAACACAGTGAACGACCCACGAATAATCACCACAACAGCACAGTTCCAAATTAGTAAAAATATATTTAACTAATTCCAGATTGTTTTTTGAGTAATTTTTAGAGGTTAATGGGTAACAGACGGCATGTCGACATAAAGGCCACCAGCACAAATATCATGCATTTCTCACCAAGACAGAAAAGCGTTTATATAGAAAATATCTGTGAATCCGATCGGGACAGAATGAGTTATTCAGGACCTTTGTAGTAGACTGCATCAACGATTTTCTGTCCACCTAATCCTATTACTAAAGATGCTCGGGTGTTGAACGCTCTTGGGATTCCCGAAGTGAGACGTTGACCACATGAAGCTCTGGAATCTCCCTGGGGGGGGGGATAAGTCTTGCAGAGGGGGGCAATATCCTTCAAGTGTTGATGCTGAAGGGTGGTTTTGTTGCCATAGCACCCTGTCACCGAGAAGGCAAAGACATTCTCCACAGCAGCTCCATAACCTCGCCTCCCGAGTCACTTCCTAAACCTTGCCTCGGGCCTTCTTATGGCTGACGTCGACCTCCCACTCCGGAATTACCTTAGGTGCCAAAGCGTTATCGGTCTTGTCGGCGTTGATGACCAACAAGGGAAGAACACCTTCACCTCCCGGGGAGTTGATTATTTTTAGGGCCACAGCAATGTTAACAAATTCATCTTTGACTATAATTGTCCGTGTGATGATCATTGAAACACTATCCTCCGAATGGCATCTTTTTTTAAACCCTGATGCACTGGAAATATGGTCTGTGAATGGATGTCGAAATAGCCACGCGGAGCGTTCCCACACGTGATCCGAGTGCAGGGGAGTCTGGGGCAAAGGTATCGGGACCACGAGTACGACTCCATTTTACTCAGTAAGACAATCTCTAAATGTTTAATTCTCAGTACGAGCAGACAAAGTGCATTGTTGTGTAATTTCACATGTTTGTTTTTTCAGATAAAGGGGGTCAGGTGTCCTCCTGTTTTTAGCTCCGTATTTGAACGGCAGCACGAGCAGACAGCGTGTACCCTCCAGGCCTGTTTGAGTTCACGTGTCACTGAGTGTCAACACAAAGTCTCGCCATGACCAATTGTCTCTGCAGGACGCAGCTGTTTTCGTGGAGTTTGTTATCTGGATCAAGTTTGGGACTCAAATAAACTGGAAAACACATGTCGAATGAAACAGATCTGAAATGTGCGTAGGACTTGAACCTTTGCTTGAAAGGTTATTATAATGATAAACACAAACAACCGGCGTTCCCTTCATCTTTAACTGGTCCTTACCAAGTAGTTTTGTATATATAAATATATATGAATGTAGAAATGTGTGAATTATATCAGGGGTTGGAAAAAGGCCCGTCCACAAATATTGATATGAAACAAATTTTTAATGGAGATGGAGATAATTGTTATTGTGTCGGTCAAACTCAACATTCAAGGTCAAGTCTTGTTCCGAAATCTTGCATTAGGCCACTTGGGAAACACAAGGAAAGTGACATAAGTTTATTGTGTTGGAGTCAGTTGCAGTCCACAAAGCGCAAAGTGTCTCAATGTCATGGCTGAGTAGTTAACTGATTTGAACAATGTGGATGAGCTGCAGCTGGAAGGAGACTTGGTGGGACACAAAAACAAACTGACCGAATCAAATTGTCTTTATTTATTTAATTTATTTAGTTTATCAAATTGAACTTCTTTTAATGAGATTTACATCCAGACTTTACTGCATTGAATATTGCGTATGTTTCAACCAGTCATTTAATCTCTCTCCGAATTGACCTTTTAGTTGTAGATTGATATCAATAAGAGGAAAATGACGTGTGAGAACGTTATGTTTGGTGCTGGAACACGGCGTCTTTTTCCTCACACAGAGTGAGGAAGCAGCTGTAAACCTTCCCAGACCTGCATGAGCCAAAACATTTGACTTCATGTTTTCATGTTCCCCGCAGGATGAATTCTGAAATCCACAAGCCAAACTAAAGATGAGACATCAACATTGTTGATGTGCGATTTGTGACTTTTTCAACCCACAAATGCGCAATTTTCCTTTTGAATACACTTTCTATATTGAGTGTACACTTCTTTCTCCCACTTAAATGTACTGCAGCTTCATGCTAAAATTGTTAAATTTTATTTTTCCATTCATCAATCTACTCTCCTGGCACATATTAAAAGTGAAACAGGATTTTGAAATGATTTTTGAAATTTTAAAACAATTAAAATATTCCATTGATAATAAGTATTCAGACATTTAACTCAAGTGCCTTAAACGTCGTAAAGATTTCACCTAATCCAACAGGACTTGATGAAAAAAGGCCCACATATGTCTATATAAGGTCTCACAGCTGACGATGAAAGTTTTTTAAATAAAATTAAAGTTACATATTTTTGGCATTGAGCGGCAGAGAAACAAAGTGTGACAGGTGAAGGTCTGCATGTGCTGTCAGCAGCACTCTGCTTCCCTCTTGTGGACGGGAACCCGCTCTGGTCTGACACGAGGTGAGGAAAAAGAAAACAGGTGAGGTCTCAGTTTGATGGCTCATCGCACTGTTTTATTCAATTACTGACATCTCAGGAGAAGAGGAGCGCCTTGGAGCTCTGCTGTTGGTAAACCACTGGTGTTTTTTTTTTTTTTTCTTTTTTTCATAGCGTTGATGCAACACTGAAAAAGCGCTATTTCCAAACAAACACAGGTCCCTCATCAGTGATATGTAAGAGGCAGAGATAATCTCACCTGGACAGTTTTGCATGAAACATACAAATGAAACAGGTTCAACCTTTTCTTTTGTCTTTTTGTTCCACATATAATAATAAATATCCATACCTATAAACACTCCAAAAAAAAAATCAAACTATTAGGTCACAGGTACTGGAAAAAAGTTCCACTTTTAAATCACAATGATGAATGTACAAAACAATAGACAATCTCATATAAATGTTGATGGTTTTCGTTGAGAGATTTAAATCTCACTTCTGAAGAAATCACTGGATAAAAACTAAACTCGGAGATTCAGTATTTCCTGAGGTTTATGGGTTCCCCTTAAAAAGGCCAGGAGAGGGGAATGGCTTTTATGTTACCATGGAGATATTACAACAGGTCAAAGTGTACCTTCCAGGGTACCAATCGAGTTAAGGACAAGGAGTTCTCCCTGACAACGTAGCCGGGATATTAAGAGGTTCTGAGCACTTAATGTAGTATAATAAATGTACCTACACCCCACCGATCTCCATTTAGGCCACCAAAGTATTCTAAAAGAGTTGATTAAAGTGGATCCTTAACAAATCTTTGCTGGTCCACTTTGAGAAGTTGTGAAGCTTCGCTTTTACTTAAGATTTACCGCTTTTTTTGTTTTGTTTTTAAATGCTGAAAGCCACCACAACACCGAGGCGACCCGATCCAGCTGCCACGGCGCACTTCATGCCCTCGTGACCACGTCGCGCCTGCACTTTGATGCAATGGAGCAAGAAAAAAAAGAGGAAACTATCTGGGCAAATATACACAGATTCTGGGTATAAGTGAGGAAAACAAAATATAGACTGAATAAAACACAAATGTATTCTGGAAAACTGTACATGTAAACATCACACTTTCACTGAGTCCAAAAACCAGAGGGGAAATACAAAGCTTCACACGGGTTTACAGTACAACCTCCTGCACAGAGCTACAGTCTCTTATCGGTGCAGGAGAGGCAACAGTTGAAATAATATAAATAACAATAGAAGTAATACAGACCACAACCAAAAGATAAGTTAAAACAAGCAAAGACTAAAACCACTTTGACTTTTTTTTTCAGCGCTGTACCCACAAAAAAAAAAAAGGTTTAAAACATCTTTTATCACTCTTTGTACAGCTATACAGTACATTTATCTGACCACTTAAGCAATCCACAAGCTACCAGGGCATTTTAACACCACTAGATTACATTGTCCAGTCAATACAAAGAGAAAATCCATTGGGCATAATTAGAAAAAAACAAAACAACAACATGACAACCAGTGGTTGCCAGTGATCACAGTAACTTCTTAAGTTTACAACTCTGCAAGCTGACGTTTGGTTGTGAGAACGGGACGGCGGGACATCACTGAGTTTGGCGCGAGGGGAGATGGTCTGCTGTGGTTGCAGTGATGAACGAGCAGGTTGGAGGAGACAAGGAAGACATGTGTGAGGACTCAGGTCCCACGTACATCTATGATTACGTCTGATTGAGCCCTGAGGGGTGTTTCGTAAAGCCGCTGAACTGGGCGTATTCCAGTGAGTCAGCAGGTCAACCGGGTTTGGCTCCAGTTGGCTTCCGGCCTTAGGTTCAGCTCAGGCTTAAACAGTGTTTTTACGATGAATCCGTCATCCTTCACCGGATTCAAGTCGATATGTGTGCTTGTAAACGCACTGCAACCAAATGACTAAACACACTCTAAATTTGTCAAGGCGAGCTGTGAATACGTGTGATAAATTCTGTGTAGGTTTGACCCTGCGAGCCGCCGCTCATCATGAAATAAACCCGATTCAGCTCCGGGCCGGACCTTTGACAATGAGCCTTGCTCCTCCGAGTCCCCTTCGTTGAACACCCCTCTGGGACGCCTTCAAACGCTGCTCCAAGGTTTATGAAAAGGAGCCGTTCGCTTTTTCCATCAATAAAGCAGAACGAGTGCCGCTTCTGTCCTTTGTCATAATCAGTTCTTACTATGATTGAACTGAAGCTGATAATCCAAATGAGGTAAAGACACACTCAAATCACTGTTTTGTTACCTTAATCCTGAGCTATAAAGTGCTTCCAAACTTGCAATAGTTGAAAATAATGTAAATGTTGTGCATCCCAATCGTGACATTGGAATAAAAATGTGAAATGGTTGTTTAGCCTGCAAATCAAACTGTAGACCAGCCTGGTGGTGTTGAGAAATAGACTGATTCCTCATAAATAACTGATAAATATGCTAAGATTTGTGATAAATACAGAAATATATCTCTCTAAACTTTGACTGATCGATAAGGTGCGAGCCATTTTTTCGGCTGCTTGAAGAGTCATTGTCCTAGTTTGGAATGTGTCAGCCTACTGAATTAAATACTCACAGATTGATGTGGTACAAACTGGGTCACTCCACTTATACACAAACAGAAAACCATAAACATACTGTCAATACCAACACGTACGTTGACAACAAAAAAATAATTTAAAAAAGACACACACACACACACACACACAAACTTACAAAACATGATTTTGTGCCGAGTGACTCACCATTAAAAGTGTCTGCTGTGAGACTGTGCTCTACATCTGCTTTGTGTACTCGAGTGTGCCCTCAGACCAACAACCCCCACACACACACACACACACACACACACACACACACGCAAACACACAAACACACACTTGCAGAAAGCTGGGAGAGTAAACTGTGATGCGATCACATCTTTTTCAAAGATTGTCTCTTGCTTCTTTTCAGACGGTGTGTTTTCAGACACGACATCTACGATGGACATCAGAGAGGGTTCGACACAGCTGAGGTCGGAGGGGGACGACACGGCCCACGCACACTCACTACATCCAGTAAAGCCACGTGGTTGTCAGGGTTACAGCGATGCGCGTGAGCTCCGTGTGCTCCTTTTTAACTTACAAAACACGCGCGGGACGATTCCTTTGCAAAAAAAAGACTCCAAAAATCACTTCAAAAGTAAAAAAAGAACAGAAAAGAAGACGTGCAACATTAAGTCTCATTTTTCTGCCAGGTCCCATTTCGGTTTTGACTACGGATGACTGATCCCAATACATGAAAGTGCCTCAGTTAAGAGGTTCGCGATGAAGCTTCACAACAAACAACATTGAAATTGGCTACAATGCTGCATGGGAAATCCTTTCTGTTTTTGTTTTTTTTATCAACTTGACAGTTACAGCGAGAGGAGATTGTGGTAAAGTACTTTGCCTTTTTGCCCTAAATGCTTCAAAAAGTCTGACAGTCATTTCAGTAAGCACACCCTTACTGATTATCTTCAATATTGCACCGTTTTCTTCTTTTCCAGTAGTACTGGTTATAAACCAAACGTCTGAACAATATATTAATCTCCTTTTTTCCCTGACAGGTGTCTGTGACCTCAATTTGCATACCCAGGCTTAATAAAAGCCTCTGTTCATATTTAAATAATGAGTAGTTGCCCGTGATAGAAATAACCATAATAAAGTAACGTTGGGTAATGAGTCTTTTTTCTCGTAGTAACCACATGTCTGAGCTTCTGGAAACTCTTCCACCAGAGCAGGGCCGAGGTAAAAGGTTTGACGGATCTGTTGGTCGAAACGTCTCAGCTTTCACAAACTGTCCTGTCCTTATTTTGCTTTTTGGGTATATTTAGGTCAGCGCATCCTTCAGTAACTGTTGAGGTCAGCGGATTTAGCAGCAATTTGTCTGCAGACCTTCAGAAAACAATCCTCCAAACTCTCCGTGAGACAGAAGTGAATTCGGAGAGAATAATTGTTTAGGAATGACTCGATTCAGAAGACTGAATCAGACAATGCCACTGTACAGCCTACGGTTCGTCGGTGTATAAATAGAAACAAGACACAAAATCGCTGCCATTTAACCATTTCAATTTCTCCAAACATCTGCATAAACAAGCCAATGCGGCATCGTGGTCGCAGCTAATTTAGGGTTCCGGTTGTGCACCGATGAAGACAACTCTTTCACATAGATCATCGCTTCCTGAGACAAATGGAGGTTGAAGGGTTCAAATGAACTGAATGGGATGAATGGCTACAGATAACAGGGCACTGTAAGGTCAAAGTGAACCAAATGCATAACTAAACATTTGTCAGCCGTGATATGTTCTGGCCCCGTCCGAACCCATAGACGCAGTCGGGAGTAAGTGAAGGTACCGTACCTACAGGACCCACTGTGTGCTGCAGTATCACTCGCACACATCTGCGTCTTTGTATGAACGTCTGCCCGGAGGTGTGTGACCCCGTGCAGAGATGGATGGGCTGTGAGAGGGTTTCGGCTCAAACTCAGTTCTGCTGCAGGATCAGGCTCTCCAGCTCGTCCGCCGAGCGGAGCAGGAAGGCGGCCGACTCCCGGTATCCCGCGATGAGCTGCCTCACCGCCGTGACCTCCGGAGGGCTGAGCTCAGCCGAAGCCCCGCCGCCGCCGCCGCCCTGACCGTGACTGTTGGAGCTGGAGGAGGTGGAGTTCGAGCCGACTGATTTCATACTCAGATCCGTGGGACCTGCGGGCACAGTCGCGTTGGTTAGAGAGATGTCACGGGAAAACGGGCCGGAGACAAGGAGACATCAAACTGTGTTGAGAGTAAATGCATCAAAAAGGAGCTCAATGTCTCAAAGACAAAAGGAGCTTTGTGCGCACTAATAAATAAGTATCAGATAAATAAATGTTGACCTGTTGGTGGCGCTATAGGAAGAGTCAGGGGACGACTCTCTCTCTCTCTCAGGGTTAGGGTCAAGCACCACGATGATTAAGGGTAATTCCTTCAACCGTCACCGTGACATTTGATTTTTAACCAATGTTGTGGACCGACCAAAATGTGGACTTTAAACATCCCGACAGCCTCGGCAGAACCCAAAGATGATTCATCGACATCTCAGATGTTTTGCATAATCCACTTATATATATAGACATATATTCAAAATTTCAATGTAGAAGAAAATAGTTTTATCTTAAGAAACGGGGGCCAATATTTGTTTTTAAATGCTACTTATGTTGTGTTCAAGTGTTAACAAGAAAAGTCTATATGACATCACCTCTCGTGGTCTTCACAACCTCGCAAGCAATCAAAGGCTGTTGGTGGTGCTTGATATTTTGTAATTTCCTTCATCATTTTATTTGTCTGAGGAAAATGCCGATATTCCAAACGGTCCTCATATTTTCTTTATTGCCCTTGCTTTTTCCTGCATAACCTTAACCACTCACTAGCATGTTAAACACACATAATGTGACTGTTTATGTGGTAAACACAAGCTCTCAGGTTAAATTTGAAGGCAGCAATCATCTCAAAGTGGAATCTTTGGGGTGGAGACTTAAATTACAAAGTATATTTGCGTTGTTGTCGCATGAGCCAACCCTTTTATTTGAAAAGGGGCAAAATAATGAAAAAAAATGAAAAGTGATGAATATCCTTTCCTTCTAAATACACAGCGTGAACAATTCTTCTTCAGGCCTCCTCACCGTTAGCGTGTGCAGCACCAGAGCTCGGCTGGCTGCTGCCGACTGTCCCGTACCCCCGCAGGTTGTAGTTGAGGCCTCCGTTGGTGTAGAGCTGGTCTTGGGCAAAAGCCGCGCTTGAGATGGTGAAACCTGACGGCGCCACAGAGGCCGCGTCCCTTGAGTTGGTCTTGTCGGAGGCAGGTTCATCCTGAGAGAAATGAGACATTGTTCAGTCGGCGGTGGGATATTGTAGCCTGCGTGGAGTTTTGCCGTTAATGATGCACAGCCATCCCAGCAAATTCCCCAAATCCCCTGCAGGGCAAATTCGCAAAGAACAACTGCCAAGACATTTACCGCTTGGTAGACGTCGAGCCGCATCCTCTTGGCAGCGTTTCGGGTCTCGTTCTCACAGGCGGCAGCGAGGATGTTCTCAGCCATGGCGGACGTGAGGTGAGGAGGTGTTGGTCGAATCTGCCAGAAGGCGGCAGCAGGATTTTGCACATTACGAAATGTGAAATACTGGATTCATTGGGATTGATGATTGCATGTTGGAATTATTCATTTTAGCCGAGGGGCGCTTTGTACCTCAAAACCCCCCTTTTTCATACGGCGGCAAGATTTGAGGTAGGTGCGGATGCGCTTGCGGGAGCGCTCCTGAAACTCGGGGAACTGGCGGCTACAGGACTCGATGATGGCTTGGATCTTCTCCTTGGGCTGTTTGGAGATGGGCACCATGCGGTCCAGATTCTCGTCCACGAACAGACGCACAAACATCTGACAGAGACAGTGGGGGAGGGGTGAGAGGGGATATAGAGCAGAAAAATGGAGCGGGGGAGCCGGGCGGAGGGAGGAGGGCGGGCGAGGGGTGTGAGAGTCGAAAACAAAAGAGAGGAAAGGGAATGCAGGGGATGGGGGGGGGGTAGCATCAGAGGTAGAGTGGAAGAGGAGGGGATAAAGAGGGGTGGGGTGGAAATTGAATCATTGCTCATATTCAGGACAACGTTGGCTTATTCACTCATGGTTGCATTTCTGCAACTACTGCATTCGTTTCCATTAGAGTCAGAAACGCACCGATGGTGCTTCTCACGGAATAAATCGGCGGCATAGATTACGCGCCTATATCGAGTCAAGATATGAGAATTATTTATTATTTCTAAGAGCAATATCTGCATGTGAGCATATCAGCGTGTAGACAGGTCCCAGGCTCCTTACATTGAAGGCTTTGAGTCTCTCGGGGTCCATGCCCTCGGCGTCGTTGATCTTGTCGCTGTCATCGTGGTCGTCGTGATCGTCGTCGTCGTCGTCAATCATCTGAGCCCGACCAGAGGTCAGATCCTCGGCGCTCATGCTCAGCTCGGTCTTCACAGAGTCATAGCTCCCGGAGCTGTAAAGAGGGGACTAAAAAACAAACAGCTTTATTATAGATTATGCAGACTGGCAGAGAAAGATGAAGTGAAGTTCCCCTTCTCACCTTATTGCCGTACTCTGTTTTGATCGGGTACTTCCTGCCGCCGTCTGCGGCGTACGAGTTCGGTGGCGAGCTCCCCGCCGGCAGCAGTCTGTCGCTCAGATTGACCGGCTGCTGATCCTCGGAGGTGGACGAGGGCGAGGTGGTGCTGAAGTCCAGGGGGGCGCTCGACCCGTTCTCTGTCACCTCCCCGTAAGGGGCCCCGCCATCTGGGGGGTTCCCGCCCACGGCCGGCGCCTCAGGGGAGGTCAGGGCCGGGAGCCCGTTGGCGCTGCCGCTCTCCGAGGAGACGTCATCTAGCAGAAAGGGGAAAGCGACGGAAGGTGCTCAGAGATTTATTTTGTATTCTAGTGGGTTTGTTCACTACAAAAGGCAGAATATCGCTCTGTGACTACAGGGGGGAGGTGGGGGCTTTCTGCCTCATGTTGTGCTTCCTGAAAACTAGTAGGGAAGTCGGTATCGGGGTCAACTGTCAAGATAAATGAAAGTTAGGGAAGAAGGGGGGAATCTTCTGAGTTTTAACAACAAAGAGGGAAAGAGATGAGGATGAGGAGGGACTGGTGGGGGAAGGGAGCCTTCACTTCCTGGTGTCTGCAAATTACTCCTTTTCAACCCATGAGTTATTTCTACATGTGTCACATGCACAACCACAGTCATTGTACATTTCAATGTTTTTCTATAGTGGAGCCTAATCTGTCATGGTGAATGTTGGCCTTTGTCCTACTTCTCTAAGCCTTGTACCCTGCGAGAGAGGTGTGTACAGTGGATTTGGGATGTGTACCACCCCCTGTAAGAGTGGATTTATGTGGATTAGTCCACTAAGAACAAGGCAAGCTGTTTCCTGTGCATCCTCAATCGGTGGCCTTTCTCATGTAGTGCATAAACATTCAGATTCCAGATGTAAATAAAAACAAAACAGGAGTTAAAACATCTAAAAAGCCATCGTGCCATTAACAAACAGTACGAGATTAGCCATGTTTTACCATCCTCTTCTTTAAGGGGGGCCGGGTCGCTGACCCGCTCTCCGTTCGGCGGACTGGGCTCGGGCACTGGTGGCGGCTCAGCTGCGACCCAGGTGGGCTCAACGCCGTTCATGTCCTCGCTGCTCATCGAACTGTCATCCTGGGCGGGAGAAAGGCAGAGACGGTGAGAACGGGGAGGGGAACCCTGCGTGTGAACCCGAGGGGCAGGAGGAAGGTCCTTAAGTTTCCCATTTGTCCCACAGAGACGAAGAAGGACATGTGACTTGTCTTTTTGTTTATTACAAAGCAATTCTGGGGGGTTACTACCATACAGGCCACAAAGACACATGTTAACATTGTTGATGGGGGAAAAAATCCACATTCTTCTTTAAAAAATTGAAAAAGCTTCTGGAGGAACAAACACGGCCGATGATGCTTTCATTCCTCACATTTTCTTGATTCAAATATTTTGCAGAACACACAAAAGTCGGGCTCAGAAAAAAATGCAGAGGGCTCCATATTAAGTAATATGTTTCCTAAAGCGCTGCTATATTTAACTCTGTTACGTTGAGAGCCTAAGGATGCTTGTTGTAGCGATTCACAAATAAGAGTGAATCACGAGGGTGAGGATTAGCAAACAACAGCAGAATAAAATCTCTCAAACTATTCAAAAGCTGGCTCCAAACTACAGAAATGAGAAACCTTCTCGGAGCCGTGAGCACATTCCAGAGCAACAAGCAGCGCGTTTACATTACGCTCACACAAATGAGCGACTTCGCTTCTCTCAGCCGGCAGAACGGGGAGCAAAAACTCAAATTGTGTGATGGGAACCCAGCGGAAATATGGTCTCGCTGTGTGACTCCTGCCACACGAGCACAGAAAAAGCTCTGAACCTGCGTTTGAACATGCATCTGTCCCTCTATAAAGATTTGAGGAGGCCCAAAGTGCTCAGTGACAACTCCATTAAGTAGCAAGTGAGCAATGTAGCGTTAAAGGGAGAGAAAGAGAACATGAGTCTTTAATTACACCATTTCAGGCGTCATTAATACCTCTGCTTTAGGAAAGTATATAATTCATACAGTCTGGGGATTTAGTTGTAAAAGGATTTATTATTGAAGAGCGTCAGGGAAGAATTTACTTGCAGAATAAACGTACTAGACATGGGTAAAATAATTGTAAGAACACACCATAAAGTTCAACTTCAGACATGCAACTGATCAGAAGAGTTGTTTTAAGTAAAAATGCCAAACGTTCAGAGATCCACGTTTTTCATGTTTGCTGTTTTTCATTCCATGTATGAATGTTGCATTCCACAGTTAAATACATAATTTATGGTTGCACTGGTTGCACTGGTTGCAGTGTCTCTGTGGTTTCTGATCCAAATGATCGTGCTAAGCTGTGTGACAGTGAGAATCTTTAGTTGGAAAAGATGGAAATCAAATACAAGGAACGTTTTTGTCCCCATATGCAGTTTATTTCTTTACCATATCTAAAACAGAAAGTCTGTAAAACAACATTCAAACCTTCTCAGCAATAACTCTTCACTGATGAACTTCTGCCAACACGACAAACCTGCTGCATCCTGCTCTGAAGAGTCCTCTGAACCAGCAGAGCAGAGATATGGAACGAATCACTACGAGCCTCCAACAACCCTCCGCCATGGTTAATTATCAAATCACTGGCCGTGCTCATACTCAGCCTGCACACAGATGGGACCAACACTCGGAGCATTTGTTAATTCGTACTCACCCGCAAATCACAGTCTGGGTCATTGTTCCGGATAATCCTAATTGTGCGTGAGCGAGGTTCTACATTATCGTCATCAGGCAGCGCTCTCTGCACTTTAGTGACAGTGGTTCCGCAGGGTTTCTGTCACAGCCACACAAGGGAGTGGTCTCACACATGACGTCGAGCACATGATTTACTAATCCTCATCTCACACTGAGCTCCTCCCTCCCGCCTCCTCAGCAGGAGGACTGCTTAGAAAGTTTAATGTTGACCCAAAAGTTTATAGGACGGGTGTCTTCTCCACACGGCTTCCGTGAGAGAAGAACGTTAACTGGAGGATGTTTGCAGTCGACACAAATGCAAACATGGTGAGAAGGAGACGCTGACAGGGATTGATTTTCTAATCAATCCATCAGGACACGTGTATCGTGGCCTTTTGCAGAAAATAGGGAACCTACCCTTTCGGTGGCCGTCATGCACTGCAGCTTCATTTGTTTCAGGTAGGTGGCAGTGAGAGGCATGTTGTAATCAATGAGGTCCGGGACCAGTGAGGTGGGTCTGTCGTTTTCTGACAAAGGGAGCAAAAATACACGCAATTTAAAAAAATAATTTACAAACTCTTGGTAGATTTCGATTATTTAAAATCGAATACAGATGCAGAATGATGAATCAAGTTAGAAGATTTCTGGATTTAATTTTGTGGAAAGTAACAAAGAAAACATTTATTCCAGTACGGTGTTTAAATACCATTTAGAGGTACTTTGTATGCAACTTTGTATTTCCACGCCACTACAGCTAATAGATCGATATAACACTTTTTCATCAATTACAATTATTTCTTTGGTTACTTTTGACCCAAATCAAAAGTAACCCCAAATATTAGCAGGACATCCTGCAGCAATTAACTTCCTGTGCTACTTTAATGAACAGGTCTAGCGTGCCGCTGTCCTCTCAAAGCTCTGCTCTGCAATAAATAGAGCTTTGGTTAAAGGGTTTGACTGCAAGCAGCAGCATGTCAAACAAAGTGGCTGAGATCCACCTGCGGTCTCCGTACCGGCCACTAGAGGGACCCTGTGATCATAGTGGGTGTGTACAATCCCAGAGATGTGGTCCTCTTGGGTCTTTGTTACAGCATGCCCGTGATGGATATATACACTCTATAGACGCTATGTTTTATTAAAGAAGGACTCATATTAAAACTCCTCTTGGTATAAAAACATTTATATTACATTTGTTCCTATTTTGTTTTCTGACGGGACAATAGAGAACTCACCTTTTAAATTTTTGATAATCCAAAATAAACACCTCCATCAATCGTTTGATTGAATTGAATCGTTTGATCATTTCACAAAATCCTACAACATTTACATCAGGCTTTTGTAGAATACACTGATTGGGTTCTTCCATCTCCGCCTGCAGTGGGCATTGTAATTAACCCTTTTTTCCACGACCGCATGTCAAAGGATCTGAACTTTACGCTTTTAAAGGTGCTCTCAAAAATACCATTTCAGTTAATGATGTCTCCAGAATTAGAAAGTCCTCCACAGGTCACGTGTGTGTCATTACCTTTGAACTCGGCGGTGCTCGGGTTGATGTGCATCCTCTTCTGACACTCTCCACAGCTCATTAGGAACCGAGTCACCGCCTCTTTGTGCAGGAAGGGGTAGGTCTCTGCTATCTGTGCCGGCGGAGTGAGCAGAGGAGGCTGGTTATAGCAACAAAAATGGCAGCGGTCATGGCTCCGCCTCTGAACTGAAACTGAATGTGCAGGGTTTTTTTTTTAGGGTTTTTTTCATACCGTGCATGTGTGAAAGTTTGGGGTCATTGATAACGTGTCATCTGGATGTGGTACGAGGAGGAATCCTCCCCTCAGGCGGTTTCTCATCCTTTCAAGTGGCCTAATTCTAGTAGGGGATACTTCTGCTTTGATAGTCTAAACAATCAGTGTTACTCATGTCTCTCCTCTCCGCTCTCTCAGGTGCAGTCGACTCGCATCTTCCCCTTCTCTCTCTCACACACACACAGCCATGCCACCCTCCCATCCTCGCCTCCTCTGGCGTTTCCCTGTAAAATGCGACCTTCACGTGACCAGGGAAAGCCACAAGGGGTCCCCCCCCCCCCGCGGCCCCATGACACCTCCCGACGTCTCTGTGTTCCTTATATCCCCCCCCCCCCCCCACCCTCAGCCTCACACACACACACACACACACATTCTACCCTCACAGCCCCACCCCTACCCTGCCAGCCCCTTGAGGCAGCTGAGAGGCAAAGGCCACCCAGAGGAGCGTGCACCTCCCAGAAGGCCACAGTGACAGTTCCATATTATGCCCTGCCCCAGTGATGCTGCCTCCTCAAAAGGGTACACTCTATGAGACGTGACAGGACCTCTCTACAGGGCAAGAGGAAGAGGCTCTGTGATTATTTTTTTCCAATCCTGGGGGGAGGGGGTACCAGAGTTCTACTAGCCCCCCCCCAAAAAGCCCCTCGTCCCTTCAGCACGCCCCCGACCAGAAACGCCACCTCTATTTGCAACATTAACTCCTATTTCTGTCTGCCTTTGTTCTGCAGACATCAATCATATGGCACCACAAAACTCTTGAGCACCATAAATACTTTGTTGTTCTGGTATGGGTGGTTACTTGTTCCCTTGGTAACCCTTGATGTTATACATTATGTTGCAGTGGAGCCTAGAATAAAACATACATCTTTGAGGTCTAAGTTTCACATGCCTTTAGCCAGGCAACAGAAGGTCTGCCCCGCTAAAAAGAAAGCGTACTTTGGGCCCACTCCTTCAAACAAAGTAATAGAATAATACTACATTGGATTTTTAAAATATTAACACCAGCTAACCCTAACCACAGGCAAACAAAGACACAGACTACACAATATATATGAAGTCCTGACTAAAATATAACTGTTGGAAGTCATGACATTTGGTACTAACACTCATTGTCCCCAGAGAGTGAATCCTAATGACATGTCATAGAAAGATATCCATAAACATGTTGATTTTCACTGTTAGCATGTTGTCATGCACAAATTAGCAATTAGCTATAAGCACCACTGCTCCTATGCAGCATCACTGAGCGTCTGGCATGGCTGAAGGAGCCTTGTGTGTCCGTGGGGCAACAATGTATTGACTGTTAATTGTTCACATTGATGTATTGCTGATAAAAAAGTCATCCTGAAGACAGTCTTTGCTCTTGCTTTGCTGCTGTGAGCAGCGCTCGCAGGGTTAGCAGCGCCCTGCGTGCGGTTGGATTCACTCACCGCTTTGTAGGTCTTCTTTTGGCCCGCATGTTTGGGCGCTCTTCCCGGGTCGGCGCCCATCTCCACATGCATGGCATAGATGATGTCGAAGAAATCTTCCACCACGGCTACACGCTTCAGGGACGAGTTGTCTTGGGCCGAATTCCCGTCCGAGCACTAAAACAGAGATAGACACCGGAGTTCAGAGAGAGAGAGATGACATGTGTGTATCATACATCTCATGTAATATAGCTGCAATTAGAGCATCCGTGTCACGTGAGCATGATCTTTGAGTGAAATGAGTCATGGGTCAGGTGGTTACAGTTGTGCACAAAGGGTCCTAACTGCCACTTCAGCAACCTCTCTTGTCCGCCGGTGATTCGGCCTCACTAAACGTCTCTCTCGGGTGGAGAAGTCTCGGCCCGGCTGGGTCGGCAGCCATCGCCTCATCTCTGCAATGTTTAAAAATAACACCAACGACACTGTACAAGACTAACAGTTCCTCCTACCACAACCTCTGGCAGCCATCCCGCCTCCCATACTGCTGACCCCGTCGCCATAGAAACTGCCACTGATTTCTCTCGGGCAGGTGTGCTGGGCAAAGGGTCATGTGACATGCAATAGAAGTGGGATCGCCAGGACAACGGCCTCCATCCGCAGCACCACATGGGTCCTTTCTACCTCCTTTCTGCCTCCATCTTTTGCTCCAAGTAACTCTCCCATCCCCTAGATCCTTTTCCAACACTTTGCATTTTCGAGCAGATCTTATCTTAATATTATGCACCTGCTGGTGTTTTCAAAGTGTCCCAGTGAGCTTAAAATTGGAAAATAGAAATGGCTTGGGGCATTTAATTAGGTTTCCTTCTGGTGCACCCCTTCAACACAGATACAAAACAAGCCCCGACATTTTCTGGAAATTGGGTTCCAGGTGGGGAGCGATCTTTCCTTGTTCAAGTGAGGAGGGTCCGGAGTTCAAAAAGTTGTCCCTCCGGCATTGAGGAATCACACTTTTGTCCCCCTTGTCTCCTTGACATTTCTGCACATTTCCTGGGATTGACATTTCAATTTCAGATTTCTTCCTCGACATCGTCCTCCCTCCCGTCTCTCCTCCATGTCTTCATCCCCTACCTCCGTCCTGTCTCTCTTCCCCCCCCACTCCTCCTTGCTCCTGCTCTCCCAAGTGCGAGGTAATGATCGTTGCCATGGCAACTAAAACCAGCTCACGGAGCGGGTTTGTTTTAATCCGGCCCTCTCTCCCTCGTTCTTTCTAGCCACTCTCCCCTGTCAGCATGGGCTAAATGTAATGAGAATAAATTAAATGATAGCAACCCTCCGCCTCATCATCGGAGGTGTAATCTATCGCACTTGGAGGTTTCATCATCATTCCCCCGGTGACATCACCACCACCGTCGCCGCTGCTGCTGCTGCTGCTGCTGCTGCTTGGGACAATGGTGTCAGGTCCATTCACGCTGGATTTAGATAATCTCATACAACTGTGGGGTGTGCAGTGTACCCACACAGCCACTGCATCGTCCACTGAATTCTACCCCAACAGAATATCCAACATACGCACACCGGATATTCCGCATGGGAATGTGTCGAAAGTCGCACACATACATTATATTGCCACCCACTGCACCGTAGTTAGCGTAGTTAATCCTGCTGTTGTATGCTTTGTTTCAGGCTGTAAATGTTCTTTTCATTAGCAATTGTTTTCAGGACAATCATTTGGTCTATAAAGTGCCTTTCAAAGTTTCCCCAAAGGCCCGTGTGGAATCTTAAAACCTCTTTTTAGTCCGGCAGCCCTAGAAAAACCAGAAATATTCAGTTGAAGTGATATAAAACATGGACAAGGCCACATTTCAAAAGCTGTTACAAAGGACTGTTTCACATTTTTGCTTCTCAAACAATGATATTATCAGAATAGTGAGCAAACTTGCGGACAAAAAGATGCATTTCTTTCATCGAAAATGCAGCCACCTGGAGGCCGCCGCCGCTTCCATAACCTCTCAAGTTTATAAACACAAGTCAACGGGGAGTGAAACGTTCACCTCCAAACGCAACACGGTTTGAGTGTGTGTGCACTTGTGAGCGTGGTGTGTGTTTAAGTGCAGCACATGTCTTCCGGCTGCAGCTTGTAGCTGAAGCATCTCACAGGAGAACAGCTGTCGAACGGCGCCGTGGATTTTTGGTCTCATCGGCGGCGAGCAGTTTTTTACGGCGCAAACATGAGACGTGTCAGCATCCCTAAAAACTCCTCGACCTCCTTCTTCTCCTTCTCTCTGTCTTTCTAATCCCGTAGGACTTTGCTCTCCCCAGCCACTGTACAACCAGCCCCCATCCCCAGCTCGCTCTCTCCCCGTCCCGCACCAAACCGCTCTGTTGCTAGGAGACTGGAGGGGTTGAGTTGGCTGCCCCCACCCCCGCTGGCAGTCACACACACACACTGTAGCAGAAAGGGGAGAGAGGAGCAGTCCTGCACACAGGCAGGTCAGGAGGAGGAGGTGATGGAGGGGGAGGAGGAGGAGGAGGAGGGGAGGTTCACGGGAAGCAGCTGGGTCACAAAGACGGGCCGGCAAAGATACAAGAGATGCGCCACACGGGAGATTTCATTCGTGAACGATCTCAAAGGCAGAAATGTAGCCTTAACTTTGAAAGTCAAGCAAAACATGAGCAGGGTGTTTTATTTTGAAAGGTGGTTGCACAATAAGTAGCTTAATAAGTAGCTTTATCAGCAGGAGTGCGGTGTGTTCAGGTACTTTCCGTGTGTGTGTCTGTGTGTGCGTGTCTGTGTACCCTCAACTGGCGAGTGAAGATGGCTGTGTCAACAGCGCTCATGACTCAGATTATCTTACTGCCGATGTGACAACAGGTCATCTTTTATAGCCCCATCTCTCCCTCCAGGACTGGCTAATGGACATGTAAACGGTCCAATCCTTGTTTCGTGTGTGTCTGCGTGTGTGTGGAGGTGTGCGTATGCAAGAGGAAGAATCCGATGACAATTTAGAAAAATGAGATAAAAGAAACTATCACCTCCATAATGTCCCAAATATTTGACACAACCCGTCCCCTTCTATTTCTTTTCTTTTCACCCCCACCATCCTTTTCTCTTCTCTAAATTCATGACGCCCTCTCATTAAATCCACATTAAGAGCTCTACCCCTCATGTCCTACGCACACATCTGTGTGTGTGTGTGTGTGTGTGTGTGTTCCTCTCCTGGTTGCATCCTCGATGAACATTATTTGAGTGTGTGACATCCACATTATCCCAGCGAGCCGGAGACACAGACAGTCCCACCAGCGCCGGCGGACCAGCAGTGTTGACGTTACAGTCCCTGACTTGAAATGGTATGCAAATGACTCGCACATACATCATCACAGAGTCCATTTTAAGGCTATTATCATACCGTCCCACTTCGTCAAACGTTGGCCCGGCAAAGGTATTAAAAATGACAGTAGCGGCCTGGTATGAAGATTATTGCCGTCTTAAAGCATATGTGTGGGTGTGTGTCTGTATGTGCGTGTGTGTGTGTGTGTGTGTGCGTGTGGAGCAGAACTCAGACTATCTCCCACACAGGGGGGGAGGCCCCCGGGCCAGTTAAAAATGGTGTTAATTTCTCCTCCTATGGGAAAGCAAAGAACGGTCTCTCCATGGCAACAGAGAGGGTGCTGAAGGGAGGAAACACAGAGCATGCGATCAGCGACCCCCTCTTTGTATGAGCACACGCTCAAACTACCACATACGTGCAGCACAGTTTCCATCTTACAGTAAGTCGCAGTAACATAACGTCGTGGACATAAAGTCTTGTCTTTTTGAACACAGTTTGACCGACATGCACAGGACAGCTCGATCTATCCGACCAACTAGCTGATTCTTGTTTGGGGTGGTGAGCATTTGCCATTTGAATCCTCGAGTGTGAGCCCATGCTACTAGGCGCTGCCAGAGATGGACGGGACAGGGGGGGGGGAGAACGTGGAACAAAAGCACCAGAGGTTCTCTATGCAAAAATAGCATAAATGCAAATGCTCTGGAATAATAAGGGCAGTATTCTTTTGACTCTGTGGCCCTTCCACAAAAGAGGCCCTCTCAGGGGAAACGTGGACTAATTAATCAAATAATAATGATGATGTTGCTCTTCCTGTCTGACGGCAAAGCACAAACATTTAGGGACGATTTTTCCATGACACAGATTAGGAAGAGCGTTTTCTGATTTCTGCACAAGGACGTCCCCAGACAAACCTTTATGTTGTAAATAGATAGCAGCATTAAATCTTCTTTTCAGGAAACCTCTTTCTGTGGCAATCCTTGCTGATTATTTTCTCAATTAATGGATGAAGCCTTTTGTTGATAAAATGTCAGATATTTTCTGAAAAATATAATCTCCGAAAGTATGAGGTTGCACCTTTAGATGCTTTATCTTGTAGATATTCAGTTAACTATAACGACAAAGAAGAGCAGAAAATGATCACATTTGTAAAGCTGAAACCAGAATTTCTTTCTTAATTTTTCTTTAAACAATGTCTTAATACGTGTTGTTGTCGACGAGTCGGTCAACTGACAGAAAACCATCTGCAACCACTAATTTTTAGCCTTTTTCTAAAATAAGTAAATGCAGAATTCCTCTGCTTCTGCTTCTTAACATGTCCATAATTGTATAGTTTGTAAGGTTGTTGTGTTGAACATCTTTTGGCCTGAGAGCAACCTTGAGCTTTCACAACCTGTAATTGCTATTGTTCTATGTATTCCTGCATGTTATAGACGGAAGTGAGAAAGTAATTGACAGCTGCACAATACATTGTTACTTGAGGCAAATCATTTTCTGAACTAGTGTTTTATTGTTTAAGCTTCCGAACAAATTGTACAAGTTAAAATATGAAGCGTGTCACAGGCTGATATTGAATTCATCTAAATTCAACTTGTGTACACAAAGTGCTTCTGAACTGTTACATGTGGACTGTCTGTGTGCGAGAATATGTCCACCGAGGGGAGGGGGGAATAAAGATATTTACAGACTTCCGTTGGCATGGCAACGAAAAGCAACAGCTCGCAGGAAATCGTCAACACAATGCCGAAAAGAAAAACGCACGGGGCATTTAAACGTCTCTTTTCAAAGTGGCCGCACTCTGACTCGACCAAGTACGTGTGCTCAGCTAGAGTGGCGCATCTCTGTGTCTGGTCCCGTTCCCCTCCTCCTCCGTGGACTCCTCTAATCAAGACATAATGTGTGTGTGTGTGTGTGTGTGTGTGTGTGTGTGTGTGTGTGTGTGTGTGTGTGTGTGTGTGCGTGCTGTACCGGGCCCCGGCTTTCTGTCCCGCCACACACTGAAGCAGCCTTGTATGTATGGAAAGAAAAAGAGACCGTCTCTGTCTGCATATCAGCAACTGTTTTCCCTGCCCCCACCCAGCTCCTGGTCATTAAGCCCCAGCCCGGCCCCCATACAGAAATTTGGCACCCCCAGGGAGCAGGTGCAGGGGGGTTACCAATGCGGGAGCTCCAGAGACCCCCCCCCCCCCCCCCCCCCCCCGGCCCTGCAGCCGTACGGGGAGCCAGTGACCATTGTGTGTGCGTGTGTGTGCGTCTGCTCGTGTGTCACTTTTCCACTGGCCCAGGACGGCCTATTTATAAAGCCCACAAACGGCGGATGAAAAACTCTCGCTTTCTAATAGAGCCGAACGCATTTCGATAGCTGGATTTGTTGCCACTGACTCATCATTAGAAGCAGTTTGCGTTTGCCGATGTTAGTCTGTTGTTTGAATTTCCCAAGTGGAGTCAGGGGGATGATTTCCCCTTCCTTATGTTAATAGGAAGCGTGTGCCTCTCTAATAAACAGTCAGCTGCACTCTTTTGTAGGACTTTCTCCGTCTCCCCAATGGTTTAGGCAGACCTTAGAGAAGTATCTATATCGGAGGGTCCTCAGAGGCAGACAAAGCAGGGCTCACCTGGAGGGAAGGATTTATATTGGACAAGAAATGACGAGAGCCGCAGACAAAAGCTAATCAACAACACATTTCAGGCCCCATCTGCACCTGCAGAGACGGGGCACCTGCCCCTTTGCCCAGAGGGAAACATAATATTGAGTGGAGATTAGAGGAGTTTTGTAAAGGCAGTTGGCCTTAATCTAAATTGTACATTAACACAGGTATAACACCTGTGGAAGATTCGGTGCTATTCAAACAAAAGTCGAAAGCGTAAAGACTGTAATTGGTGGCAGAATTAGTTACCAGAAATTGTGTTTCTGCGCTGTGAGGTCCAGAGAGACTTCGTCCCAGCAGGGCGGGTAGTGGGGGGGATTATTCCCTGAAGACGCTTATTTAAAATGGTGGTTGTCTCCTTTCTGGCACAGCAGGCCCAAACACCATACAGATATATAACATGCGTGCGTGCATGTGTGTGCGTGCATGTGTGTGTGTGCGTGTGTGTGTGTGTGTGTGTGCACAAAGAGACCTTCTAGGGCACTGCTGACAGTTCACCGTGTTTTTCTTATAAAGAATGTGTGATTTAACCCGCACCACACACCTGGCGCCTCAGTGTTGCATTAATATCTCACTCCGTCATCCACCGACACGTAGAAGAAGTCGGTAGCGGCAACTGTGGGCGTACGTCGCTATCAGTCCCAATCACACCCTTTTGTTTCCGCCACAGCCCCTCACGTGGCCACCAATTATACGCACAGCTACCGACAGTCCGTCACATCCATTGTGAAATGTTTCTTTTTCAAACACGGGCATAGACTGGGGTTTTAGGGGGAGGGGGGGGGGGGGGGGTTATAATCTTAACGTACAATATAAAAATGCGGCAGAGACAGACTATCCTGGACTACACAGGTGTTGCCAGAGCAACGAGTGCCTGCGAGTCGATCCACATCCTGCCCAGGACAATGAGAAGTGAAAACACCGAGACTCCGACTGTCTGCCACGCAGTGACATTTGTACGAGAGAAAAAAAAATACATATATTCGAGTATGGAGTAGTACCGCATCTTTTGTTTTCTCCAACTACTCTTGGCGACGGAGTCGTTTGGTGGGACGGTGCAGGGCGCGTTTCGTCATATGATCCCATCCAGACCCGCTGAGCGCGCAGCGGAAGGGTGTATCAGACATCATCTTAGTCGACGTGTCTGCCCCGTTGTCCCGCACACGCCGGAGTGGCCTGACACGGGCTATTATACCCGACCCACGGACATGCCGTTGCATCCCCGCGTGCACGCGCGCACGGAATCACCACATCGGGAACCCGAACCGCACGGTGCAAACTAAATGTTGCCAATAGCCAATTATCTCCGCGCTTTGCACCCGGGAGCGCGCCACTGACAGGACTTCAACCTCACTGGCGAGATAGCCGATACCTTTTACAATCGCGATTGCCAGAAGGCACCGGCGTTGCTATGGCAGCAAGGGATGAGAGTACGGCTGTTCTGGTTGGGATGTGGACAAAGTGACGCTTCATCATGAGAGACGAGGGCGAGCCGGGACGACAAAAGATTATAAGTTGTATTTCATGTGACAGGTGCATCTGTGCAGCGTGAAATAATTATTAACTAACAGGCGGCAATGGGACGTCTGTGCACGTGCACACGCGCGTTCTCTCTCTCTCTCTGTCAAGCAAACACATACACACACACACACTCACATACACACACACTTTACCGTTGTCTTGACCGGGACATACAGAACGGGTTTCCCCGGAGCTCCCTTCTTGTTGTGCTCTCCCAACACGTTGGTCCCGACCTGGAATCCTTTAGACTTCACCCAAAATTTGAATTTGGCGTTGATGTGGCTGTTGTCGATATAAACGCCGTCCGACTCCTCGTTCTGCAACAGTGTCTGCATGATTTTGTTATATTTTCGCCGGGTGACGGTCTTTGTTTTGCCGGAGTCTCCATAAGTCCGGAGACACCAGTCCTGAAATTCACTGAACATCTCCGCCTCCAACACGACCGGACTCCGGCTCCTTTTAGGCGCATCCACGCACGCCTTTTTCGTTGCCATCTCTCTCTCTCTCTCTCTCTCTCTCTCTCTCTCTCTCTCTCTCTCTCTCTCTCTCTCTCTCTCTGTGTGTCTCAGCCCGTTCAAACAGCCCAGGCTAATAAAGACTTGACCGGGTTGATCCTCGTCCTCGGGTCCCCGCCGTCCCGTGTAAAAGGAGGCTTGGTTACGGGTTCGGGATGCTGCCTCTCTGTTGTTTCCCAAGAAAAGTGACCCGGACGGCTGCACACCTGTTTGCAGCGGAGCAGTGTGCTGTCCCGAACCGCAGCCGTGAAAAATGTCACTTCCTCACATCATCCGCCGGGGAGCAGAGAGGGGGGCTGTCCTACAGCACGCCGAGCGGGTATCTCCCACCTGTGCGTAAAACGCTCTCCGCTAAATTGTAGGCTATGAAAAGACCCCACAGTCCTCTCTAAACAACAAAGAACACAAACGAAAGCGTCGAAACAGACGAAGCTTTCAGTTCCTATCGACCTACTTTTTCAACAGCCAACACTATTTTCGGATGCCGGTTGCTCAACCCATAAAAACCCCGCAGAAATGCACACAACGTGCGCCTATGTGGCCACATATTCGATCTACATGCGCCACCTGGGATGGTTTCGGCTCCTCACACCTGTTTGAATGTGAATCGCGTTTGCACTGGCTGCTCTTTCTATCCCGTGAATAGAACACAGAAATGTCTGCATTGCACTGACGAGTGGCTTGATTTGCAGCAAATAGCGTTGATTCTGCCCCGGCGCAGAGAGAAAATGTCCGATTTGGAGACGTGGAAGGTGACGGAGGGTGGGGGCAGAACATATTTTATCATATCTGGAGGATATGCTAGAAATCCTTCATTTTATAATTTCCACTCAAATAGGCCAAAGAAGTCTGGATAAAAAAAGTATGTTAGACGAAGTAACCAAACAACCTCTAAAAAAACATGTATGACCAAATATGGCAGTTGTCTCGATAAAGGTCCACTTATTGTCAATTTGTGTGCTTTTTGCACAGTGCTGTAAACCATTTCAGAACCATTTCTTGAAGGTGATTTAAGTTTTCTCAATGTTGCAACATCTGTCTCATGAAAAAGAAAAATGTAGATTTTAACTATTTTTAACAAAGGAAGAATTTTACTTTCTCTGGTAAAGAATCAACAAACTGCACATATTTTGGATCTGGTTTCGAGGCCTGTGTGTGTCGTGCTCATTGCATGTCTGCATGTGTGTGTGTGTGTGTGTGTGACTTCTCCTGGCCTGTGCGTTATAGGCCCGTGCTGGCGGTGGTGGCTGCTGCTGTTGCCATGACAGCAGCAGTGTCTCCGGCCGTGCAGAGGGTGAGTGGGATGCCCCATCCTCATCTCTCCATGAGCATGCTGGACAAAAAAAAACGCCCCACCCCGACTGAACGACAAAGAGATTGACCAAACACACGTGTGTGCACGCGTGTGTCTCTGTATGTTCCTTTGCATGTTATTTCATTTAGTTTCATCATTTGGTTTTGTGTTGTGTCCTCTCTCTGGAATGGCCTGCATGCAGGATGAGCTCCAGGGCTCCATTCATCCCTCAGGGGAGGAAACATCTCAGATTTTAGAAGGAATACACGACTTGTTGTAATTGCAAGGAATGAGGCCAGTTTAACAGTGACTCATTGTGAAATCATTACTGACCATTTGGATCAAAGCACAAAAGCAACCTCTTACACATAATAAAGAAAAACACCAGAAACATTATTGTTTAAAGATAGCAGTTTTTTGTAAAACATAAAACCATATTTTAGTTTAACAAACCACTAACAATAACAATAAAGTTAATATTGGGTCTTAACAGCCGATTGAAAATCCAATCCTCTGGGATTTCTGTTACATAATTTTAAATCCCTAAAATCATTTGTTGGCCCCTCGGATTCATTGTGGAACACCTTTAGGAAGCCCGGCCCCAGGTTCGGAATCACTTAACAACAACATATAACACTCATAGACGCTTATAACTCAACTTTTGATACTTTACGATACTCTGATTTAGCCTAACTTATTTTTTGATAAAAATTATTGTGTAGCCAAATCCTCATGATGCTGGCCAAATTCACAAACATCCTCAGCTGAACAGATCATGCGATTCCACCGTAGTGTAATAATTGAGCCGTTTTATCTTTCCTGATTCAAAAGATCTGGAAAAATTATTCATTTTTATTACCATGTTTAATACAGGGCCTGTACTTACCATTGGAATTGCAGTATTACTAACTCAAGTGCAGGATCTAAATACTTCTTCCACCTTTGGACAAAACACACACACACACATGCAACCAGATCGCTCTCCTGTAATGTACCGATCCCTGAGACCATCGCTCAGCGGCGGCATCCATGCGTTTCAGCTGTCAGACCTGTAGGCAGGGTCACGCCTCCTCACTCTTAATGAGGCAAAACTGCTGTAATTATGCTCACAGTCCCCCACTGGGCACTTTCCTTTCACCAGGAGGTGCACAACTCCTGTCCTGCAGGGCCACAGCGAGGCCTGTCTGGAGCAGAGATGCCCCGCTCTCCAAAATAAAACCCCTCACTTAAAGAGAAGCCTGAAGAGAGCAGCTTCCAGCATCCATCTGCTTACACTCTGACCTCCACTACGTTCAGCTCTGGATTCAATATGTAGTTCTTTGATAAATAGCGAGTAAAGCATGCAATTGTGTACATAAAGAACTCGGGGGAGAAGGAAACTCCCAGGGTGCATTTCGGCCTCAAACATTTGATCACAGAACTTACATTTCAGGAATATCTTGAATTTAAATCTCTGTGACAATTTTTGGATGAATTACAAGATGATAAAGTAGCCCTACTTTAAATTTGGCTTCTTCACATAGCAACGGGGGTCGAGGTTTATGGGTTGTTTTAATGTCAGCAAAAATGATGGCCGAAAAAGAATTTCTCAGATGACCCGAAATCATTTTTGGTTGTAACTTAAACTTATTGATCATCACAGAGAGATCAATGAAAGAAGCAAGTTGCATTATTCTTGTACGTAAACCAACCTTATTATAATGCCAGATTATTGGAGTAGCACCTTGAGTATTAATAAAATAGTAAAGAAATAATGCTACAAGTGAGAGTCCTATATTCAGTCGACTTAGTACTCAATGTGCAAACTGAGTACTTTCTGAGTAATTGAGTAACATACACTTCTAATGTATTTTAAAATACTATGAAACATGTATTGTGCAGACCCATCATCTGGCAAGCAACATTTCAATGTTGAATTCATGCATGAGTAAATTTCTAACTTTAAATGTTGTTGGATAGTTTGAAAAAAAGGTTTCTTATGCTTTGCTCTTATGCGTGCACAAAATACAAGATAATACAAGCCTAGATGAGGCGAAACAACCTCAACAGAGTTCAGAGGGAGTCTCACAGAGTGAACAGGGGGACAGACGAGGACACGCAATGTAAGACTGAAGAAGAGCATAAGAGCCAGGCAGTGATGCTGAATCAGCCTCCGTCAGGGCGACGAAGTCACCCTCCTCCGCCCCATGTTGGTCTCACCGTGTGATTGAGTATGAGTGACAATCGGATCACTAGTGCCGCCTGTCGGTGGGGATGAAGACTGCACCTCATTTGTGCCGCCCGTCCTGAACCGGACCTGTCCGAAACAAAACCACATTCATTTGTCTTTCGAGTAACTGATTTGTTTCCCTGTGTCACAATGTTTGTGCAACGTCTTGTAGATAAAGGATCCCCCCCACAAATCACACTCAAGAATATTCTCTGACATACCACTCGTGGTGTCAGGAAAATTCATTTGGTTATTGAATTACTTTAAATTGAATCTATTTAATTTGCATTCTTTTTTTAATATTTTTCTACAGAGGTTGCATATTTTATTGCAATCTGATTTGAAAGAATGTTCTGTATTTTTCATTGTGAACATTAAACTCATTCAAACTCAAATGATTGTGTTTTTTTTTTAAATTTGATACAGCCACACTCCTCCTTTTAAAAAAAACACGACAGTGGTTAAATGTGTAGTGAGACGTATCGGGGGGGGGTAAAGAGAGAGGGAGCATGCCAACTGAATATTTATTATCTACGATATAATCTCTCTGTCTGCTCAGCCAGCCACAACACCGACCAGAAGTTGCTTCACCAGTCTGAATGATGAGGGGCTGCAGTGCGACGTGAACACACATCACCAGACTTATGGGACCATGAGGGTGGGGTGGGCTCAGGAGGGGGGGGGGGGGGCAGGGCGCTGTGGGTCAGGGCCCTGGGGCGGCTACCGGCCATCGGGACAGCAAAGCCCACAGGCAAGCCTTGGAGACGACAGAATCGGCACAGTCGCCATGGAAACACAAGCGGCCCAGGCAAATCATTGCAACCGGTAACTAAGTAACAGCAAACAACGGACCATAGAGGGCGATGAGTCTGGTTAATCATGAAGGGAGGAGGGCGGGGGCGAGGGGGGGGGGGGACAATGGCTGGGAGATAAGGGCCACAGTTCTGGCTCACTGCAGACCCCTCTCCTCTAAAGAGAGTGCTCTCATTGCCTCCCCACGTGCACAGGATTGACTCTGGATTAGCGTGAGCTGATGGAGGCGCAGCCTCCGCCCTTCTTACCCCATCCTTTTCATATCCACGAGGGAGTGTTAATGAGCGCACACTACAAGCAGGGGAGCCAAAGAGCAGCCATTAAACTGAGCGTGTGTGTGTGTGTGTCTGTGTGTGTGCGTTGATATTAAAGCACTCATAATCAATATTTGTACGTTAACAGGTTATCAATTGACAATATAAAAAGGCGTCAATCACCCTGTAGGGAATTACCATCTCAATCTGCTCTGCAGATTTATAGTCCAGTGGTTTTCACATTATTGTTTATTTGCCCGACCCACAACTCTGCAGCGTCCTATGAAGCCACAGCATGCGGTAGTGTTCAGTGAAACGGCCCCCAAAAACCTGCTGGAGCGTTTGATGTTAACATCAGGACTCGAAGGTTACATTTTGTATCTGTCTTATACATTAAGTGCACACATTTCCAGCCTTTAAACGCGATTGCCAGTGTGATATGTTGCTACTTCTCCTCGTTAGAGGTTTTTAGAGTTTTGGAATGTTTCTTTGAACACTGCCTACATTGTTCAGATAAACCATAACACTATAGTAGTGTTAAAAACGATGCAGCTTTAAATGAATTGTGATGAAGACATTGAAGTCAAAGGCAAAGCACAGAAGCTCAGTACTTTTAGAACGCGGCGTCTAGCACTGAGAAGTCGCACGTCTGTCAGCAGCGCAGGACTTTAACCCTCCTCTGCGGTCTGGGAGGCTCCGAGGGGCCCACAGGAAGCCTGTTACCTCCACACAAATGCAGATTGTATTTGTGACCCCGGTGAACTAACCACCGCTCACAGCAGAAGCTTTATCTCCGACACAACATCTGCTTATCAAGCGGGCTGCTTGTGAAACCTGCCGGCGCGGACGACTTAAGTGCCTGAAAAAATTTCTGCTACTCAAGACGTAAACAAGTCCAAGTGCCCAGAAATCTGACTGCCATCATCAGCAGACACAAACACGACCCTTCGCCTCGATCCGCTCATTCACACATAGCTGCTGCGCATGAGGCTCTCCCTCTCACGTCCTTTGCCTCCGTCACTGCCGCCTGTGTTTGCGGCCTCGTCCGTGCCAATACTACTTTGCCTCGACAGCTGTAATGGGCTCACTGTGGAGAGACGCACACGCTGCCTGCTGCCCAAACACTCCACGGCTCTTATTCTACCCCGATGATTGGCGGTGACATGCTCGCGGTGGGCCCCCTGCAGCCGCACTGACATCCACTTTGCCGCGGCTGGGTGACACATCTGATTGCACCCGTCAGGTTCCGTGCTTTAAGCCTTATCCCCTGAATGCTCCCGCTGACCTTTGCCTCGGTTTTTTTCTTCCCCTTTTCTAACTTTCCTTCCTTGTTTCAGACCACATGTTAGTCCTCCTTCACTGCACATGGCACTCTCAAAGAGTGGGTCAGTTGAGTCGGTTTTCGGCCTCCGAGCCTAATGCATATTGATATATTAAAGTAATAGCACTGTAATAAGTGTTAAATGCATGTAATAGCTGATTTTGTTCTGTTGGTGTATTATACTATTATATATACTAACACAGCAGGTGTTTGCAATAAGTGTGAATTCGCCACAGCATTATTGCTGATCCAAGTCTCGAGTTAAATCCATGTAAAGCATAAGGCCGACTTTCTCACAGACAACAAATCCAACACCCAAAATCTACAAAGTGTCGTTACTTCTCTCAGCGACGGGTTTTGTTTCCATACGGAGCAGGCAGCTGTTTGATAAACTGTACTAATAAACCAGCAAGACACAAACGTAACGACTAGTTGGAGAATATAGTAGAGCACTTAAAACTAAGCAATGGATGAGACAGATTTTTTTCCTCAGCAGTTAGTAGAGATAAAAAAGAGATAAAATATAGTAGACGCATTTATCATGGAGGACAAAAACCCAACTAAACATGAATGGGAATGTTGCTCAGCAGCTGAATGTGTAAGAAAACAACTGTTTGCTAAATAATTCATCTTACAAGGCACTGATATGTCAGTTTGGTTTATAGCTTTTCTCTGCTGCCCCCAAGTGGTCCAAAATAAATTGCTTACTGCAGGTTGAAAAATATGTAAAATAACACGTGGAAGCAGTTGGATAGTGCAGGCCATAGGGAATATTTCTTAAACAAGAGTAAACATCATTTTTGTTGGGTTTATTTTGGCGAGTGTTGTAAAAACTCCCTGTGTGAAGCAGATGCAAAGGGATAATAGATCCACGATCGTGGTGTTCAACCGTAGAAATACATTGTTGCTGTGAGTAATTAACTGGTATTTGGTGAAATAGATGATTTTCAATGTTGTTTTTCTGCCAGAGAACCATGCAGTTGTTTACCCAGACTCCTCTGCTGGGCATCCCTGCTGTGTCTCTGTGCCTCTGCAGCGGCTCCTTTCAGACGAACGAGGGGGCTGCAGGGATATTTTACAACTGCTTGTCTGTCCGAAAACACATTTTGTGTTCACTCAAAAGAAACTGCAGCGCTCAAGGTTCTCAGTAATTAAAAAAAAACAGAGTATAAGGCAGAGAGTAATGAGCTAAACACACTAGAAATGTTTTGTTTTGGTCTTTTCAGGGTATTTGTTGACCAATAAGTGTTTTTACTGTATCCATCGTCAACATCATCACCTCAATCTATTTTTAGTTCTTTTAGGAGAAGCACACACACACATATTTGCACAGCCTCCACTGTTACACCCCCACTGAACGTCAGCCACATGAAGATAAAGGGAAGATTTTGATTAGCCAGCCCGCGGGTTTCCCTTTAGGGAGGATGGGCTGGTGGAGAGTTGGTTTGGACAAACAAAGCCCAACATGACCCCGGTGACCCTGCTGCTGGCTACCACCGCAGTGGATCTACACTCACCACAGATGGTGTCACACAAGCCCAGAGCGCTCGCCGTAATGACACCATGAAAAGACAGTCAGGGACAATTTACCCTATTAAAGCAATAATTCACGTCGTAAGAGCATTTTTCGCATCAGGGTTTAGTATCAATCCATCTATAAATATGTGATGCATAAATGTTGCCCCCCCACCAATGGAAACACTGCCCTTGTGATCCCATCCAACCATTCACTTACATCCATTCCTGAGCTTGAACATAAATTCAGACACACACATTAACCCCTCGACCGCCTCTGTGATAACCATCATCTCCAACCAACATATATGACCAAGGCTTTAACTCAATTAAGTCATATAAATCAGGTTCCAAGGCACAGCCTGCTCCTTAAACCCCTTATGATTATAATAAATTGTTCTTATTAAAGTTGTGTCACAGATTTCAGTATCAACATATCAACCCACTCACCGCACCAGTTGCTTTAATCTGCCTTTCTTAATGTTTATGCTATAACCTGTACACTGTGCTAAAATGTGTTTAATGCCCAAAACAGACGGATATAGGGAGAGCATTGGCATCTTTATAGCTGAAGATGTAACCTGCCCTTGTGAACGTGGTTAAAGAATGAAGACAAAAGTTGGCCAGTTGAGGTTTTTTATCAGAAACGATTGAATACATATTATATGTTAAGGATTACAAATCGAAAGAAATGAACACCTCAAACAGCTGGACCAAAATAATTACAGCAGAGTAACAAGGAAACACAAAGGATTCGCAACATTTCCTATATAAGATAATAGATAATATTGTCCCTCACACGAGGAGGCAGCTAAGTCAAGTCACATAATAAGTTGCCCCAGGGGAGCAATCGTAATGCAGTTTGATCAGCGAGGGCCTGTGTGCATCTTCTGAGAAAAACACACAAACTGAAACCTCTCCTCTTGTGTGTAAAGTGCTTAAAGTTTAAGCAATACAGCTGTCTGAAAACGTTGCAGTGGCATTTTTAGTCATGTCCCACAGCGATACACTAACTGACCACTAGTTACAGGGGCACACATCGCCTCTTCTGATTCAACGTAGTGGCCTTCGAGCTCTATGCTGGCAGCTGCAATGTGATGAAGGTGCCTTCTGACAAGAACACACATGTTCCGTCACGTACTTTCTCCAAACCTACTGCAGTTACTTGGCATAGCTGCTCGTGGCCCGAGGCTCTCTGGCTGCAGATTCCAGCTATTATCCAGCCGCTGGGCTAACTCTCTGCCGCCTTGTTTTTCCATCCATCCATCCATCCTCACACCGCTTATCCTCCACACAGGGTCGTGGGGGGCTGGAGTCTATCCCAGCCAACTTCAGGCGATAGACAAGGTACACCTTGGACTGGTCGCCAGCCAATCACAGGGCTAACACAGAGACATACAGCCATTCACACTCACGTTCACACACCTACGGGCAATTTAGAGTCACCAATCAACCTGATCCCCAGTGCATGTCTTTGGACTGTGGGAGGAAGCCGGAGAACCTGTGGAGAACCCACGCAGACTCCACACAGAAAGGCCACTGGGTGGAGTTGAACCCAGGACCTTCTTGCTGTGAGGCGACAGTGCCGCCCTTCTTGTTTTTTTTTCATCTAATTGAGCTGTAATTTTTTCCTTTTTGCCTCACGAGGCGCTCTTCTGTCGTAAAAAGGTTGATAGACCGTTGTGATGTCCCACATACACAGATCAGATGTCTCGTAAAGTAAGTCTCCCACAGCTAGGCCCTGAGCCTTAAATAATGTCTGCCACACAGTAATTATTATTCACATATTTTCAACAGCATAAACCTTAATTTTAACATCACAATTCATATTAATGAGTGAGATTTTAAAAAGGACATTCCCTCTTATTTGACAGTATCAAGCGTGAATCTCTATTATTCCAGCTCTGCAGACATAATATTAACACTTAATTGTGGAAAGTTAGTTAAATATTTGTAACAAATTATCCATATTCTTATGGCTGTGTGATTTCATAAAATGGAAATATACACAATTTAGTGTGCATCACTTTTCGACAAAACGTCAGCTTGAAACCAGCGGACTGGTGACATAATAATATTTATCAATCTAGCACATGTCATAACAAATTCCGACGGTCGCGTAACTTGACAGAATAACTAAATAATTAAACTACCAGCTGCTAACAGTGTAACTACATTTGAGCTGGCTTTCACTCTGACGTCATTCAGAGGGGTTCCGCATCGCTTCGCTGAACAGACGCCATATTGGCCACGCTGGTTCGCTCTCTTTGCGTGTCTTGTGGCAGTTAAGTTGGACAACTCACTCGGTTGTTAGTTTTTGGGCGGCATCAGACTTTTACGTTTTGCCGAGATTAATTCATTTGTACTGCTCGTTGAGAGCTAAACTACGAAGAACTCGTCAGCCTTGCACAGCGGCCATTACACTGTTAAAACGGAATTGTACTCAGATAGTTAACGTTACGTTAACGTTATAACCCCAGACAGGAGATACAAAAAAAAAACGTAAAGTGTCTAGTAATAACTTAAAAGAAGGTAGGCTGAGGTGTTTTTCAGTCATTGTACGTACAGTTTACAGTGAATTAACCTTAGACGTGTTGCGCTAACGTGAATTGTATATTTTAGGGCTGAGGGCCTGGACCGGAAGCTGGGAGATGCAAGGTTACATTTGGCTAACGTTAAGCTAGGCTACTAATAGCTAGCCAGGCGACTAACGCTAATTGCGTTAGCATGGTTCTCGAATGTCACTGAGGTAGGTGTGGTTTTATCTTTCCTTAGGGAACATCGCATTGTTTATGACAATGGATGGGGGTTACAGCCTATTTAGTGATTTGACACATAAACCGAGGAACTTTATTAACTTAAAGCTAACTACTGTACTGTTAGCTACCATTTTATCTCCGATGTTAACTTAATCAGGCTAACGTTAGTTGGGGGATGGGAAAAGGTTCGTAACGTCGGGGCACTTTTGCTAGCTAACGTTAATAGTGTCGGCTGTAAGCGGGGCGGCCTCCTGTACCGCTCGCCCAATGGCTTCCCCCGGCTAATGGGACGTCACAAGTGCCGGTCTGCCCATTCTAAAATGTGCCTTGGAGGGGGAGCTAGTGGTCTTGAGAATCGTCTATTTCAGTGAGGGATCCGGCGAGGTAAGCCACCCAGAGTTCCCCATTGTCTTTTTACGAAGCCAGTCGCTTGTATTCTACTGAGACTTCATCGGCGGTGCACAGATAACCATGCCGGGGCCCTTGTTATAGCTGGTTTTGTCCTGGTGTGTTTGCAAAATCTTGCTTAACCTTATGCAGCCTCTCAAAAACAAAGACCGACTGATCTATGTCCTCGTCGATAACATATCTGATCGGGTGGTATTGACTTACTGACCGCGATTACCACCGTCTTTCATCAGTCTAACCACCCCGGTTGCTTTAATAACGTACGCGCGCGGGGAAACTCCGTTGTTATTACGTTCTCTTTAGTTTTTACATTGCACCACTTATAGCTAGTCGCTTGAATCGGGACGTACAGATTCCTCCCTTACGTGTCCGCCGGCAGCTGCAACTGCACCGTGCACGTAACGTAAACACCGGCTGCAGAAATAAACATGCCGGTCGCCATGGTAGTGACTATCGGTGCGTTGTGTTTGTTGTTTTCGCCCTAAAAAAAATAATGTAATAAGATCGTGTGTTTGCAAAGCTCGAGTTCCTTGTCGGTCAATGAAAGTTGTGCATTGAGGGGAACGTTCGCGGCAAAAAGAAATAGGCAACGCGAGATTTCGTTTACGATGTCGATTCATCGAGGAGGAAGGGGAGGAGAAAGTGAGGGTGCAGCGTGGCTCGAGAGTCCCGGGGAACCCGGCAGCATCTCGGCTCTGAGAAGTCACACGCAAACAGTTTACACGCGTACGTGTATTTGACAGAACGCGCCCCGTCCGTGTGCACCACGATGAGACAATAAGGCATTAGAAACCACCCACTGAAGCGGTTTCACACACCACCCCCACCCCTGGAAGCCCGCGGTGGGGTAAACTGAGCTCTGGCATTACTGACAGCCATGTTTTCTAATGTTAACAAATTGGTAATAATACATTGAAAAAAACTATAATACAAAGAAATGTAATATTTCAAATAACACCGTTGGTTGAATATACCAACATTGTTGATTGAATATACAGTAAGCAGTAATTGTTCCACCTAATGTATCCACACTTTATTTATTTAGTTACCAGAAAAAATGCTACATTGTGAGGTACATCAATATTAACATATGTCATTACCTTGATTGCAATGGGCCATATCACATGTAAGTGTTTTTATACAAGATCAAACCAATACTTATACCAACACTATATTTGTGGACCTCTATCTCCACCTCCCGAGCAGGAGTGAGCAACAGTAAACGTTTAAATTTTGTGATTTTATGTTTGGTGTAAGTTTACAGTAAACTAAAACAAATTACTGACATGAAGAGGAGATAACTATGATAATAACCAATTTTTCTTTTAAGGGCTTTACAATGGCAAGTGCAGTGGTTGCGATCCCAGACGCCATCCGCGATAAAAGCAGCCGTATTTATTTGGTGTCCTGGTACAACAACCTGCTGAAGACAAACTTCAAAGATGTGCAGGAGATGGGTTCAGGTGATTGATCATTATGAGCAGATACAATACGATGGTACAGCAGTACTTCTGTGAACTTGTACCTGAATCTTGTGTGTATACATGTACGTATACATGCTTTTTAAAAATGTTACTGCTATGTGGTCGGTTTCCCACAGGTGCGTGTCAATGTCAGATCATGGACTGTATTATTCCCGGCTCTATTGCCATGACGAAGGTGAAGTTTGATGCACATAGTGAGGATGACTGTAAGCACAACTTCAGGCTCTTACATGAGGCCTTCAGCAAGAACGGTCTCACAAAGGTAGGCATTTTTCTCTTAGCATTTTAACTTGTTGGTGTTGGTAGGCAGATTTTTTACATTTGACAGGCCAGCGGTTTCCTGCAGTCTTTTTATGCTAAGCTTAGCTAGCCATATATTCTCTTCAATTCTTCATAATCAATACGAAAGTTAGGTTGACTTCAAAATTGTGGCCTGTGTTCTTTGTCTTGGTTTAGATTATTCCAATTGAGGAGCTCATACAAGGGGATTTGAAAGTGCACTTTGACCTCCTGAAGTGGCTCAAACGTTTCTACACCTCAAATAATAAAAATAACAAATACGACCCTGTGAAAGCTCGGAACAGCCAGGATATCAGCCCTATTCTGGTACCTGACAAATTTCCTAAAGGTAACTGAACAACTTTTTTTTTTGTTATAATGAAAAACGCATTCTGTGTTTTGTTTGTTTACAGTAGTTACGCAGTAATTCTTATTTCCTTTCTGTCAGGGGGATCGAAATTAGATTCAGACACGGAAGAAACGGCCACTGTAACAGCTAAAGAATTTCCTTACACTGAAAAATGGAAGAACACTTATGACTGGGCTGACCATAGTGCTCTTGGAGAGGAATTTACCTTCTGCCGCTCTTGCGAAACAAGCCTGAAGACATTTCCTAAGGGTTTTTTGGAACTCAAACGACACGCGGAAACAATGAAACACAAGAAAAAGGCCCAAATATACAACCGTGTTTGCCCAAAAACCAATCCCTCTAAGCCTCGTCCCAGTAGCGATGCGGCTATTTCTAGACATTTTGCACGCAGCAAACTGGGTTTGCAGAATTCCAACATGACACCAGTTTGCCAACACACTCCGTACTGTGTGTACGTCTTTGGAGGTTGTACACTGGGAATGGACACGGTCTCTGTGGTCCTTGTTGGCTTTTTTGATGTCAAAACCTCCAGGCAATGCTTCCAATTCCTGGATGCCCTTCAGTCAGAGGATAACGCCGACGATCTAACAGCAGCAGCAGTAGTGGCGACCTTAAAGAAATTCGGGTTATACACAGATAATATTGTGTCTGTTTATTCAAACTGCAGCAGTGTGGCCTCAGAGCAGATCTGCTCGCAGCTCAGGAAACTTAACCCGAACATAGTAGCCTTAGGGGATCTGTCTGCCACCACTGATGCTGCGTTCCATGCAGGGATTAAGAAGCTCTCCAATCAGCCTCAAGAGTTGATGGTAGATATCCATGCTCACTACTCCTCCTGCGCTACCAAGAATGAAAACCTCAATACTCTTTTTGGCTCAGATATTAGTGCAGAGAGTCCATCCCTTCATCTTAACACCAACTGCCTTACATTCTATCCGTTGGTCACAAAAATCTTAGAAATATGGACAGATCTCATTAGTTACTTCACGTCCTGCGACGAGGGCGACACGAAAGCCAAGTTAATCTGCCAACAGATGCAGGATCCTAAAGTCAGGGCAACATTTATGTTCTTGGAGCATGCCATAGAGCCTCTGCACAGTTTCCAAAAACGTCTACAGCCACGGACGGAAGGGGTCCGAGGCGATGTGCTGCTCATCCTACAAGAGGCCAGTGGCCTCCTGTGCACTTACACCTCCTACTTCCTTCAACCGGAAGCTGCTGCTCGATTCACCAAAGAACGCAATCCCCGAATCCTAGAGGGCAAGAAATTCCACTGGTCAGCCTCCAAACTCTGTCTGGGTGGCAACGCTGTGGAAGACTTCCTGAATGAGTCGAAGGCTACAGATACACTGGCAATATTAAAAGAGGAGGCGTTGTCTTTCTACATTGCACTGACAGGTTGCATTGCAAAGGAGCTGCCTCTCAGCGACCAGGTGCTAAGTGGAATAGCTCAGCTGCTGAACCCCGACAGCAGAGGGAGTCTTAGTGGGAAAGAGGTGGAGAAGCTCGGGACCTCGCTGAAAGTCTGCAGCTCCCCCGAGGAGGTCGAGCAGCTCACGCGGGAATTCCTTGAGTATCAGCAAGCCGAGCGGGGAGATAAAGAGCCCTCGGGAGTAGTTTCACCAGAGAAACACTGGGCTAGCGTACTGGAGGACCTGCGTCCGACATCAATCTTCCGAAAGCTTGTTCTGACCCTGTTGTCTTTTCCCTGTCCAAATCTAGAGGCTCAGCAGGTTTTTACCACGGTATGTAAATTGAGGAGCCGTATCAACATTTTCTTTGTCTCTGTTTATGTTACGGTATCTTTAATATTATTAATTCTCTGCACTTGCTGCATTTCCTGTTGCAGGCCCTGAATAACTCTGCAATGTCTTCTGAGAGGGAGGGCTCAACAGAAAGCGAGTCTGACCTCACGTCCGACGGCACTCTCTCGGACTCCACCATCACACAGTCCTCAACTCAAACTGAAGGTAAGATTAAAGCCAAATGTATTAGGTGATGATGATGATTTGTGTTCGGTGTACTGAACCGTGCAGTCAATCTTGCATGTCGTTAACACTTGTATGTGATTCTCTAGACCAGAATGGCCTTAATGTGGAAGTGAAGCAGTGTGAAGTTCGCCTCACAAAGATACATCGTAAGTAAAGGAAAACACACGTCTTTTTTTGATGTGAGCATCAGGTTCTGGATTCTGCAGCACTTCAGAATTCTAGTTTTAACATGTCCGAGCGCAGATGTAATACTTCTAATGATAACAACAGCAAAACAGACTAAAATCCTTTTTGTTTTTTCCAAAGAAAATGGTGGTACACCTGGAGAGAACGGCGCCGTGTGGAACGGGGTAACAGATTTTCAGAATTAGAAAAGCTGTATTTCTTTATTAATGAATAAATAATTATTTGACCATAAATATGATCAGTTATGCACACAACTCTACTCTACTCTATTTATTTACCTACAGTCCTTATGTCCTCCGAATTCTTCTTTAATCTCTATTGCAAACATAATTACTGTTTGTGATTACAGTTACAGTTTGTCCCGATAGGGATATTCGAGTGTGTAATGCCTGTGTTGTCTCTCAGATGGCTGTTAGAGGAACGCACGGCTTGGAGAGCAGTTTGCGCCAGAAGCCACCGACCCGTACACTGTTTCAGGCTGGTGGTAGAACCACCTCCAGCCCCAAAGGGGTTGATAAGGACAGCAAAAGGGGTCTGGAGTCCCAAGATGAGGTACTTGGTGTACTCAAGTATTCTACCAGAATACGCCTGGGCCACGACTGGGCCTTTCCGCCCGTTTAAATTCCATTCAGACTCAAGGACACATGTTCTGTGAGATGAAACACAGTTTTCTCATTTGTCGACTGTTTGATTACTTATCAATTATATGTATTTCAGTAACTATTGCTGCTTAGAAAAAAGCAAATGTATATATGTTAGGATTGATGACGGGATAACTGGCTTCTTTCCTCCATGCCACCTGAAATGAAATATCAATCAAAAATGGGCTTGCTGCCATCAAAAGCAGAATGTGCAACAATTGATGAGACATAACCGAGCATGGGATGGCTGTCGAATACTTCTATCATTATGTTCCAAGTCCTTTCACACTGAACAACTTCGGGGTCCCACATTTCAGATGACGTATCCCCCTTGATAGCGTTGACCTGCCATCTCCCCCTAAAAAGACAAAAACGCATCTATGTGGGCCTCTCAGGGTAAAACGTTTGAATGTTTTAAATGTGTCGGACTCTCAGGGAGAAGAGACACCACCCCTCAAAACCACACTGAGAGGACGACGGAAGACGGCCTATCAGGTAACAGGAAACAGTTACAAGAACCAGTCTACAATACAGATGATCTTAAACATCATTTAGATGATCTTCTTTTAGCTGAAAAGCTAATCTGGATAATCAGTATTACTTTTCTTTTTCTGTTTTACATCTGCAGGATGGGAAAGGGTTTCTGACAGGTGAGCTGGTGTGGGGGAAAGTCAAAGGCTTTTCCTGGTGGCCCGGAATGGTGATGCCTTGGAAAGCCAAGTCATCGCCCCTGGGTATGAGACGGGTGGAGTGGTTCGGAGACGGGATGTTCTCAGAGGTGAGGGGTCCAGCTAATGTGCTCGAACTGCGGAAACAAATATCGATATCATATCAAATAGCACTTAAACATAATTGTGGCTTTCTGTTGCAGAGCTATACGGAGAGTCTGTTGACATTTAGGAACTTCAATAGGTGCTTTTGCAAAAATTCCTTTGCCAGCTTGCCCATCTACAAGGAAGCCATCTACCAGATCATTGAGGTAGGAGACCAAAATGCATTTGTCACAAAATCAAAACATTTAGTACCACCTCCTCTGACCCAAAACAGACGCCCTGACAAAATGTTCTGTCATATCAAGATTCAAACTTAGGAAGCTCCGACTGAATGACCTGTGGTTGGTCAACCTTGTAACGTGTAACGTAACGTTGTGCACTGCTTCGCCTTACGAAGTTGACAATATGAAGTCAACTCTCATTTCTTTAAAAACTTTATTCAAAATGTGTGTTTGTGATCGCCCGAAATCAAATATGTTGGCAACAACGGCTATTTTTTAAAATTGGATTCAATCGGAAGGTCAGCGGGTTAGGTCTAAACTGAGACTTATTGAACAGATGGTGGAAATAGATAAATGAAATCGGATTTCAAACAGCTACGTGCCACTCGGGCTCTTTCAATAATTACAGTTTCTCCTTTTGCAAACATTTAAGATGTTACATGCAACTTTTGAATGTTTGTACTGTCCAGTTGGCGAGTGAGCGATGTGAGAAGTCTTTTGTTGAGGCGGAAGGAAATAAAGAAAAGGAGCTGAAGTTGATGCTGGATTGGGCTTCTGGGGGATTTCTGCCTTCCGGACCTGAAGGATTTTCACCTACTGGTACGAGTAGAGTTCATGAACATTTTCTTATTTATGAATGACTGCTGATTCAGACAGTGTTGCTATTTTAGAAATAAAGACACAGTTAGTCGTCATGTTTTTTTCATAAATTATGATTGTTGTTGATTACATCTTTTCTTTTTCTTCAAGATGCTGCAGCACATCAAGATTTTTCTGATTCTGCAACATCCGACAACCAGCCGCCAGCAAAAAGAAAATATGTTCATAAAAACAAGGCCAATGCACCCGTAATCATCTGTCACAAAGGTACGTATCTTTAACCACATTTGATCCGACAAACTTTTATGGAAGACAAAATGACCTGTTCGATTCAGTCCTGGCGTTCATGTAATGTCCACATTATTTTTTCATATTTGTGATTTGTGTTAATATTTGACTTTTCAGAATCAATAAGAGAAATGGTCAAAGAAAAAGGCAGAAAAATTGAAGGTATGTTTTTGCCGAGCGTACTAAAGAAGTATGTGATTTTGAAACCGTTGTTGATATAAATATTCGTTAACGGTATTTCAGATTTTTGTTTGAGCTGTGGATCGTTGGAGATTGAAGTGCAGCATCCGTTGTTTGAAGGTGGTCTGTGTCTGAAATGCAAGGTAATCTTATAATCCAACGATTTGTCTCTGTCTACTGTTTCTGGTCTGCTTCACTGCATTCCAGTGAATGTCTAACCTCCATCTGAAACGCCGCCACTACTCACATCCCAAATGCTGCACGACCACCATGTCGCTGTCCACAGGGCAACTTCACAGAGACTCTGTATCGCTACGATGAAGATGGCTACCAGTCGTATTGCACCGTGTGCTGTGCCGGCCTAGAGGTCATTCTGTGTGGCAACGCCAGCTGCTGCAGGTAAACACCACCACGACACGCGATACTAAATGATTATCATGTCAATCATTGGGTATTTACATGACTGTTAATAATAACGGTCAATGGAGATTGGTCACTTGAAATGTTCTCTGTCCATCCCAGATGTTTCTGTAAGGACTGCCTGGAAATCCTGGTGGGCCCGGGAACCTTCGACGAGCTGAAAGATGTTGATCCATGGAGCTGCTACATGTGCAAGCCCGCACATTGCAAAGGAAACCTCAAACTCAGACCAGACTGGAGCGTCAGGGTTCAGGACTTCTTTGCCAACGACACCGCCATGGCGTTTGTACGTACCTCACTCTATCAGGCCTGTTTGAAGGTGGAGGACAGACGATGTCAGCAAAATAATAGTTAAAACATAGTAATAGTCATGTTTCAAATGTGTAAGTAGATTTTCTCTGAGCGCAGAATATTACGTGTGCTTGTTTAATAAATGACTGAAGCAATTAGTCGATAATGAGTGATGGAGACAGTTCGTTGCGGGTTTAGGTAGTTGTACCCACTGCCAGTAGAGATTCATCATATTTATGTTTTCCACACTTTTACACTCTTAACTAGTAACAAAAATGAATGTGCAGCGGATAGAACGCAGTGTAGGTAGATTACAACTGTCTCTTTACTGAATGCTGTCATCCAACATATTAGTTCAGTGGTACTGAGAGTCGTTCTCTTTTAATCCCAGGAGCCTCACAGAGTCTACCCCTCCATCTGCGCTGACCAGCGTCGACCAATCAAGGTGCTCTCCCTTTTTGACGGCATTGCAACAGGTTAGTAATTGTGTTGTATTTGTTTTTAGGACAAACCCGTCTGGTTTCTGGAAATGTTTTGTTCATAGTGAAACAAAACTACACTTCTAACGGGAAGTCGGTTATGGAGTCTACATTGAAAAACAGGTTTGTATTCCTCCTCATGAGTAACTACTCTTGCATCACGACAGGCTACTTGGTGCTCAAAGACCTGGGCTTCAAGATCGAGCGCTACCTCGCCTCAGAGATTTGTGACGATTCAATCACCGTGGGGATGATCAAGCACGAGGGAAAGATCGAATATGTCAACGATGTTCGTACCATCACAAGGAAACACGTGAGTTCTAGCTTTAGTGGTGGTTGTGGTCAAAGACCACCTAAGGATATGAACTCAAGTCGAGCTCTGTGCTTGTGTGTTGCAGTTGGCTGAATGGGGTCCGTTTGATCTCCTGATTGGAGGCAGTCCGTGTAACGACCTGTCCATGGTCAACCCTCTTAGAAAAGGTTTATTTGGTATGCAGCTTCCAGACTTCTGAGGAAGGCATTTTGGTAGGTTAAGTGCATCTAATGACTTTCTCTCCCTCTGTTTGTCCTGCAGAGGGCACTGGAAGGCTCTTTTTTGAGTTCTACCGCCTCTTGACCTTGTTGAAGCCAAAGGAGGGCGACGACCGTCCGTTCTTCTGGTTGTTTGAGAACGTGGTTTTCATGAGTGCCAACGATAAATCAGATATCTGCAGATTCCTAGAGGTAATTTTTTTGGGATGACCGGTGAAAGTATCCCCTCATCCCCAGGAAAACAGGCCTAATTAAATCCTATTGTTCATTATTCTCTTCCTCCCTTTTATCTTTCAGTGTAATCCTATTTTGATCGATGCAGTGAAAGTTTCCCCTGCCCACAGAGCGCGCTACTTTTGGGGAAACCTCCCTGGCATGAACAGGTACATGATAATACGTGATCATATGTGCGTTCTTCATATGTATATCCACAGCCTTCAAAAGCATTTCTTTCTCCTCAGACCTCTCGCTACGTCTCTTGATGACAAAGTGGGCTTGCAGGATTGTTTGGAAGGCGGACGCAAGGCAATGGTAGAGGCATTTAGTTTGTTATGTGTAAAATAGATGATGACCTGATTCTATTATAATTATGTTGTTTCAGCGATTGTATAACCTGTGTACCTGCAGGTCTTAATTGATTTTCTGTGGGCTATTAAAAAGGTCTTAAAATGGGTTAAATTTAAGTTGGTGAACCGTGTAGAAACACCCCGATCGTTCGTCTTCCTGCAGTTCGACAAAGTCCGCACCATCACAACAAAGTCTAACTCTATAAGGCAAGGAAAGATGGGTCCCCTTCCTGTCACCATGAACGGCAAAGAGGACTACCTGTGGTGCACCGAAATGGAACAGTAAGCCTTTTGGAAAATAATTCTCCTTGTGGATTGTGACGTTTGACCTGTATGTGATGATTTTTTTTTTCTTGTAACACTTCTAATCCGATGGACTCCTTCAGGATCTTTGGCTTTCCCAAGCACTACACAGACGTGAACAACATGGGCCGCTCGCAGAGGCAGAGAGTCCTGGGTCGCTCCTGGAGTGTCCCCGTTATCCGTCACCTCTTCGCCCCGCTGAAGGATTATTTTGAATGTGAATAACGACTGTGAGCCGAACAGCAGCGGTAAACCTCCTGCCTTAAATCCGCCCTGCTTCACTGGCCAGTTCAAACTCTCCAGTATTTTTATGAAAGTCTCAATTTAGAATCCACTATTTGGACTTGTAGTGTTTGCTTATGAGCTCCTTTAATGCTGAGAGTTGTCAGTCATCCGGGATCCACTATCACCAACCGAAACAGGGGTTTCCTCTGATAAATGATGATGCTGTAATCAAACAATAATTCTGCTGGGAACATTGGCCTGAACCACAAAGCGAGATCAGGCGGCTGATCAACTATCTTTGGGCTTATTTTACAGTATTGCACAGCTGGTTCTTCTTCTTTCGGGGGAAGATCACTATGGCAACCTTCCATTAACTTAATTTCTGACCAACCAGATCATGTGAAGAAATGTCACATTCTTACACGTGAACCACTGAATTGGCAATGAAGCCATAACGTTGCAATAGAGACATTTTATAGATCAGTAGAATTACTTTACATGACAGTTACTATTCATAATTATGATTAATCTGTGCTTTTACGGCAATAAGAACTTTTACTTGAACCTATTTTAAGTCCGTCATTTTTCCATAGTAGTTTGTTTGTCATTGGACAGCGGTTCGGTGCTAACATTTGTGTTTTTTAAGGTTTGCTATTTATACCAAAAATATTTTCTGCTTAATCTTTGTGAACAAGAAGCTGTGAGTATTTTTTAGTATTAATATTTTCACTGTACTGTCTTCAATATTACTGTAAGAAGGTCCGACCTGAACGTGACGTCGTGGACGTTCAACTTGCAGTAAAGGCTTGTATTTTAGATTTTAGATATTTTAGATTCAGCTCATTTCCAATAGATGAATATAAAACAAAAACGGCTCAAACATTTATCTAATAACTATCAAAAACCTACTTTGTTGCGATGTGCGTTTGATTGGAAAACAGCCTCAATGAAGAGGAACTGTGAACATTTAAATTGTAAAAATAATAAATAAAACTATTACAAAATTAAATTAATGAATTACTAAAGAATAACCACTAAAAATAATTAAAAAGAAAATGAATATAATGAGCATTAGGAAGTCCAGTAGACACATTTTAGGCTTTCTCCATCTCACACAGGGAGAGTTAATGAGCTTAAGTGTCACAGCTCTTAAAAGTGCCGATCATCATTGTTTGAAGTTTTTTAAACTTTAAGCACAGCGAGTCTTGAGCTTGATGAAGACCGTTACAGTCTGCATTGTGCTTCATCAGTCGTGTCCTACAAGGGCTCCTTCATTCCTCTTTTTGTCATCTTGTACTCTAACCCCGTAGGTTTTGACAAATCATGAAACTGACATTTAATCAACGAATAGGACAAAATATTCTTCAGATTGATAATCATGAAAATAGTACTTTGTGGTCTTAATATTTGTTTATTTTGAACCATTAGTTGGACAAATACAAGACAACTGATGTTATTGCATCTTGATGTTCATTTGTCTTCTGATGTCTCAGAAGCCAAACAATTCATCAAGAAATCACTCGGCAGATTAACCAGTAACGAGTGCAGTCGTTAGTTACTGCTACAATAATAGTAAGAACCGTTTGACCGTAGTCATTTACATGCAGACTTTTATGATGATCTTGAAAAAGCAACAGTACTGTATAACAATTTAACGCTCACCTGTGGGTTTTTTGTTTTAAAATGTTTCATGTTAGCTCTCCAGAGAGTTAAGATGTTGGTGCTGTTTCCTGTACGAATCACTGTTAGCGTCCCGGTGCTTGACGACTCGTCCCGGTGCTGCATGTGTTCACTGCTCGTTGGGCAGTCGCACACAGACTTGCTGTGACAAGCTCAACGTCTTTACCTCATTTCTTATTAGGGACTTTTGACTCCTAGTGGTGCTATGCTAACAGTGCGTACAGTTGGCTTTTGCCTTATTTTAATTTTTCTTACCTCTTTTTAGGCTGTTTTGTTGTTGCTTTGGTGCGTGTTGAATGGTTATTGGTATACTTTTTCTTTTTTGTTTCTCCCGTTTTATTGTTTTGAGTTGACTAATTAGACACATCAGGGATCAAGTGCCCCGGACCCTCTTTGGGCAAAGACAAGGAATCATTATATTAATGTAGTTTAGTCCAACGTGATGTAGATACGTAGAAACGTGAGTTTACCTGGAGCTTGGTGCTATGTCAACTGATGGAAATAAAAGCTGATTTGTATCATTTTTGCTTCTTCCAATCAATTTGTTTATGCATGTCACAAGCACACACTGCTAATAAGGTTACGACTGAAAGCACTTTTATTCCACCGCAGGAGATCAGCATTGTTTTTTACAATGCTGCATTATACTTGGGGAAGTGGTGGAAGAGAATCCGTAGCTTTTTATCTCGAGTTAATCAGCCTGCTGCTCACTTATAGGTATCCTGTCACAATAAAATTGGTCCCACTTCTCCAGAGCGTTTGCCTCTGTGCTGTGTGCGTTGGTGGTTGGATGTGAAGCCCAACACAATGCAAAGATGTCTTACAAGTGAACTAGTCGTCTATATCAGTATGTGTATATATATATATAAAATAGGCGATAATATATAATATATTTATAACTTTCACATTGTAGCTTTTGGATTTGGGAGAACTGTTCATGTTTATTAATATCCCTAGACCGTAAGTGTCATTTATCCATTTAGCAACTGGCCGCAGTTGCCCTTTAACCCATGAAAATATTCTAATTTAGAATCCATAATCTGCAAATTAACCTAAAAAAAACACCTTTTCTATAAAACCTTGTGGAGAAGAAGAATGAAGTTGCATAACATTGTCTTGAAAATGAAGGTGATTGCAGTACTTGATTAGATGTATTTAGCTATACGGCACCACTGAAAGCTCAAAGTTAACGTGAACCACTTAAGTCTTCACACTGACCTAAGTGAGAGAGGAGGAGGACAATTGAAGATAAACAGTATTTGGGCTCACATTCTCACATATTTACATTAAGTATGTTGCTGATTTTGAAGTTAGGTTTCTAGCATGTTCTGTTGGTCCAATCATTTTTTTTCGATAATAGTTTTTCAGCACTTGTTCCTGCTTTACTTTAATAACAATAATAATAACCACATATCATATAATTGTATTTTTTCATACTCTTCATTAAATATAAATTTTTATTTGACAGTAAAAAGAGTCACTTTAAAGCCGACGACACCTCCCAGGGTTTCAGTCTGCGTTCCATGTGAGAAGGAGTGGGACTCTGGTTGGTCGGCTTTATGTCCGGTTTCGTTGCTCCAGGCACTTCCTTTCCCTCCTGAACCAGTCGCATCACCTCCGCGAAGGACAGCTGCCCGACCTCCGGCTCTGCAGATGTTTCTGCTGTCTGGTTGTGGCTGATTTCACAGTCTGAAGGTGTTTGCTGCTCCGGCTGCTCAGCACCACCGTCCGCTGGAGTCACGGGAGGAGGAGAAGCACAGCTCCACTTTTTGTAGCCAGTGCCGTCGATCGGCTCCACAAACCTGGAAATGACAGGTGGTGTCGTAACATTAACTCCATCACCGAGATCATGGAAGTAAACACATGTGATGCAGTACAGTTACAATTTAGATACTTATACATTATGCATTGTAGAGTAGCTTGTGAGTCCCGTTCAGATTTTTGATAAAAAATACTATTTTAAGAGCCCTTAATTTGTTCGGTCGGCAAATATGTTGTTTTTGCATTGTATGATTTGTAAATACATCGGTCTGTATTTGTATACATTCACAGGCGTTTTACCTGTTGAAGAAGACGAGTTTCAGCTCCAGCACTTTGCTTTCCTCGCGCCCGCCGTCTCGCTTCAGATGCGTCAGACCGGCCTGAAACCGGCGATCGGCCTCGAAGTCAAAAGCATCAAACCTGGAGAAAACGGACTCCATTTACCCGCTGATTCGACATTCATTTAACTTCATTTAACGCATCTGGAGGCAAGCTATCTAATGGTAGGGAAGAACTTCCGGTTTTGTTTTTGTTTCGCGTCAACAAAACAGCGGGGAAAAAGGTGCAGCGCTCCAGCGACCGCGCCCCCTCCGGTAGGACGCGGTACTGCAGCACATCCAAATATCGAGATTAAACACTGTGGGCTATTTTGTGGGGTATTTTGTGTATTTTGGCCCTTATTTCAATAATGTTTGACTCTCTAAAGACTCTCCACTTGAGCGAACCCACAGAGTGTGTCTGTGAGCTATGGAGACAATAGACAGGGAACACGTGTGTCGAACAGAAACTGGACACCGTTTGATTTTGTCACTTTGTCCTTGACTACAGCCGGCAAGGTACCAAAGAGGAGACAACATATTTCAGCTTTAAAAAAAGAAATGTGAGCTTCCATATCAATATTTGTTACCGAAAACAAAACACTATACTTGTGCTGGTTGTCAGTCAGTGAAAGTCAACAGTCACACTATCAGAGAGAGGGACATGGGATTGATCATGCTGGTGACAGGCCATGAAATGCTGCTACTACTTTTACTTTTCTCTTTTTGAGCATTCAATGTAAGAGCCTGCAGCCTCCGTCCTGAGGCAGCTGATTAGTGCTGCGTAAACAAGTATCTGCAGAAGTCCTGGTGAGGTTTGACTGTGAATACAAGGCATAAACGTTCATGAAATGATCTCAATACATCCTTTTAGTGAGATCTTAGATGTTTATTCAGCAAGACAAGGATTTTATCTCCAAAATACCACAAACATAAATAAGAAAGTGAATTTGCAGTTTACATTATGATCAAGTTTAAAGTCATTAATGGAAATTAAGCTTTGCAACATTGTAGTTTCTTGTAATTGACATCCACATTGAGCCAACGTGCCAAAAACACAAGGACTGAGCTAAAAAACCTAAACGTCCAACAGTTTACCAGTTGTCCCACTTCAACCCTCCTGAAGTAGAGCAGAAATTGCTTTTGAAGACAATATTTGAAATTCTCTTCCTAGTTGCTCTCAGCTGCGGTTTCTCTGCCCCTTCACTCGCAGTTGGAGTCTGCAGCCGTACTCGAGGGAGGCGAGTATCTGTGCCGCTGGAGTTTGCTCTGGCTTGACGTTTGTCTCTGGCTGGATCGAGACGGGCGAGCGAAGCAGAAGGTCAGGGTGCTGCTGGAGCTGCGTTCGTAGTTTCCATCCTGGTCGGAGAAAGACACTTAGCAAGAATCGAAAAGGCTTAACCGGAGAATACATGTTCATTCCTCAATCAATAACACTCACCTCTGCTGTGACGGTACCCGTGCCGCCTCGAACCCCGAGGTCCAGGCTGCTCCCCCTCTCTTCTCTCTGGGCCCGGCCGGCTTCTTCTCGCTGCTTCATGAACCGCTGGTTGACGATCCTCGTCACGCTGTCGTTCCTGTGCAGCGGTGCGGCCGGGGGCCTCGTCGGAACGCGCTCCAGGTTCTTCCGACCGTTCTTCGTCTTCTGCCCCGACCCGGACCCCGGCACCGGCACCGTTTTCTCGGCGCGGCCGCTCACCCTGCGCAGGAACTCCGTGACCATGCCGTAACGGTTGGCGCCTGCAGGTTTGCCACTGAGAGACTTGGTGCTGCTCAGAGAGTTGTGGCTCAGTCCTGGACAGGACCTGCTACTGGTTTGCCGAGTCCACTTGAGGCTGTTGTGGGTCGAGTGGTTCTGGCTCCAAATTGCTCGATCTCTGGAGGTGGATGATGATGAGGAGGAGGAGGAGGAGCTCAACTTGGTGGATTCGGGGGGAGACGATGCACCGGACACAGAGTGCCTCCGGTAAAATTTAGGAGAGGAGGCGGAGGCTCTGGCCCTCTCGACTCTGCCTGGTCCCCCGTCCAGAGAGGTGGAGATGTGGTGTAAGCGGGCGGAGACCAGGGAGGGGCTTAGGAGCCGGGATGGACTGCTTCTCGCAGTGACCGACCCGTCTGTCTGCAGACCAACACTCACCATCTGTGGCTTGCTGTGGGTCTGAGTCCCTGAACAGGCCACGTCCACCCAGCGACGCTGTGATCTCCCCCTTTGCTCCTGCGAACCGCCCTGACCCGTCTGCCTCCAGCTGGCCGTCATCTCCTTCATGTCGTCGCTGAGGTTGGCAGCTGACCCCAGACACACGGGGGAGAAGGAGGTCGGCGGCGTGCACCACGGAGAGCCCGAGTTGACCGACTGGCCGTCCGTGACGGGGCTTTGCTTCTGCTGAGCCAGCTGCACTCTGCGAGCGGACGGGGGGCTGTAGTAGATGCGGAAGGCAGATTTCTCCGGGGCGGTGTGGCTCCTGTCCACGGACATCCGCTCAAAGTCGAGATCAGGGAAGCTGAGCGGCATGATTAGATGGTCCCACGTCTTAACGGGGTCCTCTCGGTCCAGCTGGGCAGCCTCCTGGCTCAGATAGCACCAGTTCTTCGTCTTACAGCCGCGTGGAGAAAACTGTCGCCTGAGTCTTTTCCCCTTTGAGCTGCCCGTTCTGTGAAAACAGACGGGGATTTATGAGTTATAACCGCAGTGACCTCAAGGACAAAAGGCTTCAAAGGCTTTAAAGACCTCACCTGTCAGCACCACCATGACAGTCAACGCTGGCGCCACACTGAGGAAAGGGAGATAAACACATAATGGAACGTGTAAATAATGGAACGTAAATGTTTTCCTGTTGAGCCACTGGTCCAGGCTCAGATATCTGGACAACTCTTGGATGGATGTACAGATCTTAACGGTACCCCAATGTTCTTCTGAGTCTTAACTCATGTCCCCATCAGATCAATTTCAATTTGTTTAAGGCTTCTAACAAGGTCCTCCCTGTCAGCCTTGACTGTACTTTGTGTTTGGTGCTAATTGGTAAACCTTAGGGGACATTGCATAGGAAACCATTATGCAGGGTTCATGTCATACGGGACTTTGGGTTCAATTACATTGAACAACAACGCTATTTGGCACCGATGCATATTTAATGTGCTGCAAGCGAAAGCAGGGATTACAGTCTAGCCAGCGGAAAAAGGAGGAAAAACACCACTGAAGAAATAAATCCAGCCCTTGAGAGCAGTTCTTGAGAAAGAAAGCACCAACAGTGGTTATTTCTTTAGATGGATTAAAGCTTCCTATCTGCAGCTAGGAAAAATAATGAAAGCTGTTACGTTCTGAATAACAACGATCATGGACAATGCAGAGAATCAGTTGAGTTTGTGCAGCAGGCGTCCTGTTTGGCTGCAGCGCCTACCAGAGATTAGCCTAGATCCTCTGGCATGAATCTTTTTTATGGTGCAA